ATCAAGCTTCAATTTAATCGACTCAATATTGAATTTCACTCAACAATCTAAAAGCATCTTGTTTAATACAAAGGGAAGTTGATGTTTTTACTCTACGAAATTGGTTATCTGATTGAGGTTAAAATTCTGTCATAAAAATTATGCAACGGTAAATTATTGAGGCTCACTAAATATACAAAACAAACGGGCACATAGGTAAGTAATTTTTTTTCATACTGTCATGTCTTTACATTTTAGATACGAATCAGTTCATCAAACGTCGGATTAAAAGTAAAATTGACTTACAGCATACTATACTAAAATTCTGTACACCATTACTCAATTGATTTTTTTTCAAACAAGCTGTACTCAACTAAATTTGCTATCAGTTACAATAACTTTGAATTAAAGGTAGACTAAACTTCTGAGTAAATTACGAAATCATTCCTATTTTTCGATTGTATTTTACTAGGTTTCGAATGAATTTTTGAATTAGCTACATTTGAAACTTATAGGAAACCTGAAATTAGCGTTTATTTCCTCAAAAATTGGTTAGTGAAATTTGCCTTAGATTAGAGTCGTCGTTGAAGTCTTTCTAGAAGTCCATTAGTTTATCTAACAGTGTAGCCAACTAACTAAAATGATTAGTGATCAGGAAAGTATTCACCAGTTACGTTTTGTAAACAAACTCAGTCAGCTATAACATAAAACTTCGTACAAACATACATCGATTGAAGCTCCCATACCACAATAACACAGAGACGCAATGGTAAACTCAAATCTCAAAGTAGTAGATATAGTCAGTCAGTCAGTTACAATGTAGAACTTCGTACAAGAGTACATAAGTTCAGGCTACATCAGCACAGGGACGTAGCTGTCAGTTCGAATTCAATAGTGGTATCGATAGTAGAAGTATTAGCACTTATGGTGATGATTAATTTTCGAAGACATGATTCGAGAAGTATAATTCAGTGAGATAAATTTAGATAGAGATGATGAGGAATTAAAGTTGGAATTTGAGGAAACGCAGTGAATGTATGCACCTGCGCCACTGCGAACGATTTTAAGCCATGTCATTTAAGGTCTCTAACCATTGGTGACTCGTCTCGAGGACCCCAACCAGGTAGTCTACATCTACCAACATGACCCAGTCTACTTGTCAGTGATTTCGTGGATTTCTCTCATGTTTCGGTTTGGCCGCCCCTAGCTTTCTTCCAACCTACTCCTACACCATAAAACATAGCTCGTTGAGGCAGTCCGTGGTTGCGTGTTCGTAACACATGTCTCAGCTACCTCAACTCATGGAGTTTAAAAACTTTATCGATTGATCTGCCATTCCTAACTAAAGCATTGCTTCCTCGGTTGTTCCAGGATATACGAGCAATCCTTCGGAGACACCATTGTTTGAAAACCAGCAACCTACGAATAGCTTCTACTCTGATTGGCCATGTTTCACAGTCAAAACGTAGGACCGAGCGAACTGCTGCACAACACACTCGTCCTTTGGTTAGCAGACGGATATCTCGCCTGCGTCACAGGTGACGCAAGTTGGCAAAAGCCAACCGAGCTTTCTGTATCCGCTTTGAGATTTCGTCAGTCACTAAGGCATCAGCACTGATGAGACTTCCCAGATAAATGAGGCGGTCTACACGTTCAACTGCTTCTCTTCCTATAATTAGTTCAGATACCGATGCAACCCAATCTTGAAGCAACACTTCGCATTTCGAGGGGGAAAACCGCATTCCGAATATGCTTGCATTGTTGCATAGGGTAGTAAGAAATCTCTGCATTTTGTCAGCGTCTTCACCGAATAGAATTATGTCGTCAGCATCTAAGTCAACATGCATTTCTCCTGGTAAAACGTCTAGTGCTGAAGAGTCAGACGATGATAATGCTTGATCTAAAAGCATGTCTACGACAAAGTTAAACAAGAATGGAGAAAGTGGACAGCCCTTATGGACACACTGTCATAGAATCTCACGACCAACAGAGTTGAATGCCTCGAGAAATACTATTATTGTGGGGCGTCCAAACGTATGTCTATGTTCTAGGACCTGACGTAGTGTGAATATTTCATCTATACATCCACGTTTAGGTCGAAAACCAGCCTGGTTTACTCTGGTCTGCTCTTCACGAGCTCTAGTTAGGCGTCTAAGGATTATCAAGACTGAAAATTCAGAAACTATATTAGTTAGACTGATTGTCACAAGAAGACTTTTGTCCTTACTTATAAATTGGGGCAATCAAGGATTGAGACCAGTCGGATGGGATTACGTCCAGTTCCCAGATTCTACCTAAGATCTCAGTCAACCTAGCTGCTAAAGCTGGACCACCATCCTTAAAAATCTCAGGAGTTAGCCTATCACGACCTGCTGCTCAACCTCGCTTTAAATTTCCTATAGCTTTTGCAGCTTCATAAAGAGTAGGACGACTTACGTCGATTTACCATTCAGGATGACTGGGGATCGTGAGCAGCCGAAAAGCGGCTGAAGTCCAGTTGAGCTGACCCCTCTAGTGTTCTGATCATCGATCCAATCTCCTGCATTGAGAACGAATGATACAGTAATCCCTTTCCGAGATAGTTTCGCTAACAGATGGATTCCTAATACCGGTTTCCTTGATAAGGCGGAACAACTGTCTACTGTTACCAATCACCGCGGCCTTTTCCACTGCTCTTGCTTTAGCTACCCGCCACTGTTCACGATCATTGCGTAGGCTTTTTATCAGCTTGCGCTTAGGTTGACTTCGCCCGTCGTCATGTTCAGAGCAAGGTGGGACTAGTTCCTGAAGGTCTAACAGTTCGGTGGATGCTACTGAGATTCAAGGCTTCTTCCTAGCCTTATGGTTTGCCTTACTAGGAGATATCACTGCTGTTCCCACAGCTTTTTAGTATCATTCCAAGCTGCTTCAAGGTGTGCATCACTTACTACATGGCTACCTAACTGTTTTTTTGGTTGTAACTAAAATATATTCTCTGCTTTGTTATCATTAGGTGGAGCCCTAATAGGTTTCCTTGCGATATTTTTCGTACGATCAGTAAGTAGTAAACAAATACGCGCTCGCACTAGGTCATGATCTGAATCTAAACATGTGCCCTAGATAGAGTTACAGTCCTCCATTAAACCCATCCATCGGTGGCTGATGTAGATGTGACAACTTTTGGGGTGGCCAGGTCAAAATATGTTTTTCCATATATCTAAAGATAGTGTTTGCTAGAAATAAACGATTATTTGAGCATAGATACATCAGAAAGTCGCAATTATCTATTCTTTGAGCCGCGACACCGTAAGATACACCCGGGTGTCTTTCCTTTTTACTTTTTACCTTTTTTACATTTTCGTATTCAGAATAGAATTTTGCTGAAGATATCCTTTTCGTTCCAACTTGTGTCCAACAGATTTCACTCCAAAGCAAGCCAGATTTTGTTGTCTCATTTTGATTTAATGCCTCCTTGTTAAGGTCCCCAGATTAGGATTTGAGAGAACACAAAGAATGAATGCACCTGCACCATCGCAAACGATTTCTACCCATATCACTCAACGTCTCTAATCATCGATAACTATCATCATCTCACGAACCCCAAACTGGTAGTCTACACTGACCAACGTGGTCCAGTCCAGTTGTCGGTCACTTCATCGATTTGTGCCACGTTCTTGTTTCGCCGCCCCTAGCTTTCTTCCAGCTTAGCTGTAAACCACAAAACATCGCTCGTCGAGGCATTCGGTGGTTGAACATACGCAGCACATGTCCCAACCACCTCAACTGATGAAGATTCACTACTGAATGTATTGATTGCCATTCTTACCGAATATTCGTTTCCTAACAACAGCATTGTTTACTCGGTGGTCCTAGGATATACGAGCAATGCTTCGAAGACATCTATGATCCATAGCCAGTAACCAACGGATATCCTCAACTCATACTAGGCATGTTTGACGATTTCGATCCATGTCACTCAAATTCTATAAACATCGGTTACTAATATCATCTCACGGACCCCAAACTGGTATTCTATATTGATCAACGTGGCTAAGTCCATTTGACAATGACTTTATGAATTTGTGTTATTTTGGTTTTGCCGCCCTTGATTTTTCCCAGCTTAGCCGTAAATCACAAAATATACGATTGAATATTAGTACCCTATAAATATCCTCTATTCTTTCCCACCTATAGAATAGGATAGAGCAAACTGCTGCGCAGGACACTCATCCTTTGTTTAGCAGACGGATATCTCGCGTACGCCATAATTGACGTAAGTTGGAGAGAGCCAGTCGAGCTTTCTGTATCCATGCTGATAGTTTGTTCTTTTAGCTGTGTTACTGTATTTTTATATTCTTCTCTAAACCTGTTATATTATTACAGAAACCTAAATATAAAAAATGAATTTGTTGTGGAAATTAAGACAGAGACAAAATCAATTCGAAATGTAGACTATAATTTAAATTCTCAATCTAAATGAGAATCCTTTCAGTATATCAGATTGAAAACATACAACTAATTTCCTATCAAGTAACTAAAAGATTAATCTTGTTTAGCATGCATATCTTAGAATAACTGTACGGTTGAAAGGTGAATTGAACAGACTAAATAGGTTTTTCAGAAGAGTTCAAGTGAATATCTACACTTTGATTTCTCAAGTGACTTAGAATATATATTGCTTGACTATAGACGTCTATATTTCATCCAATGACACTGGGATGTATTTTGTTAGATAGCTGGGGAGAGAAAATTTCCAGTATGCAGTTGAGAAACATCAGACAAGATGGTTCGAAGACTTGTAGAATTGAAGATAGGAATATGAAGGTGTATCCTCAATACAATCAAGGAAATGACTACATGAGAGCGCTCACTATGCATAAGCACTTTCAATTTTTTCCAGCTAGTATCCCTCATAAAAACTAACAGAGACAGACCCAGTATACACGTAAGAAACTTGGAATGCTTAGATTGGAAGAAACTGAATGCAAAAAATTAGATCCGAACAGTGGATCTACCATAAGTTGATATAAAAATTAATATTGCTTCAGGATAGCATTTAATAGTTTATTAATTAGTTTAACAAAGTATAAAACTGAATCGCAAATAACACAGTAATGAATCTAGTAATCTTCATCATCTACTTCAAGATCATCTTCATTAGAACTTTCGTCAAAAACATCCTCTTTTTCAATCAGTTCCTCACTTTTTTCACTGTTATCATCTGATTCTTTTCCCACTTCCTCTGATTCATCAACTGCATAAGTGGGGATAATAGTGTTCACGTTACTAGGCTGATCTTTGATTACAACTTGACTTGAAGTTGAAGTGCTGGAATTAGATAAACAATGTAACGCAGGATTGCGACTAATTTCGATTCTAGGAGAATCTGAGTAACTAACAGAACGTGAACCATCTTGGTAAGCAATGCTAGGACATTCAGTATCACTCCGAGCAGAATCATTATCTTCTGACAAATCGGCCCCATGAAGATCTCGATTTTTTAATGTTCCAAGCCAAAAAGCTTCGAGGCAACGGTTTTGTGAAAGCATGATCTATAAGAGCAAAATTTAACGAACAATCTGAGCATTTAAAAAGTGTTACATAGCTATATATATATGATACGAAGCGTTGATGACGTTTATTACCGCACAACACCGACCACACAACCACAAACACATGAGGCGAATACGAACCGATATGCAAATGACGAGGGGAGAACCAATAGAACTTATAATGTAACTCTATATATATGAAAATGAATGCAACACTAAGTTATTTAAGCGACTAGCACTAGAGCTAGTACGATGACTATGTACGTAGGCTGTAACCAGTGCTCATGCATGCATGCTCACACAAACGCGACAATAATAGCAATACAAAAGGCATAGATAAGTTGTTGCTGTTCTAATGATGCTATCTGTTACATAAGTTAATGTGAGGTGATATTACTTGCACTTTCGTATAATTTAATAAATTTCCTACCACATTTTGTCAAGGCGAGTTGATAATCAAAACAATTAAGTGGAAAATGTTTTGCTAGTGAAAATCAGAACGTTTGATACATTGGTGATATGCTCGTCAATTGATATACTCGAAACTATTACGAGTTCACCTTATTCGGTGAACGGAACGAAGAGAAATGACTCAGTAACACGATAGACTATTCTAATCCGTTGTCCCTGGCCCTGCTAACTAGATTAAGAAGTCTTGATAAGGCACAGAGAAATGTATTCCACAGGTACCCAGAAAATACGAGATCGAAAAGCATACAAATCGAGCTTATTTGTATATGATATAAACGTCCTTTGGAGAGCCACAAAAATAGCGTACTAAAATAATCCATCAACCAAAGACAGTCAAGGATTGGGTAGAGGTAACTTGAGACCCATTGTCAGACACGATCACATCTGGTATGCTATTTCGAGAGAAAATTTCGGTGAGGAGCTGTATTGTCTTAGTTGTCGTGGACGGCATTACAGGGTTGATTTCTGGCCATTCTGAGGTGTCGACCACAACTGAATACATAGTTCCATTGATTGTACCAGCGAAGTCGACGTGTATCCTAGACCAAGGATGAACAGGTTATGGCCATGAAACCGGCTGAACTTTGGCATTCACCTTTACCGCCTACTGACACCGCTTGCATTTCCCAACCAAGGCTGTGATATGTTGATCCATTAGGGGTCACTGAGCGTAACTCCTGGCTATGGATTTCATATGCCTGACCTCCGGACGACCAAGATGGAACTGTCCCAGCAATTTGGCTCGAAGGGATTCTGGCACAATCAATTTTTCTCCAAACATCAAGCAGTCGTTTAAGATGCATAGTGAATCCCGCCGCCGATACAGCTGCTTCATGTCACCACCAAACTTCTTAGACGGACAACCGTTGGTGACATAGTTCATCGAAATCTTGATGATGGGGTCGTTTCTGGAAGCATTTTTTATGTCTGTTGCAGACAGCGGCAATGCTCACACTGCGGTTGTCAGAAAACATTCCGCGTGGTCTTCCACTGACAGAGATGCGATTACCATGTTTTCCCTAGCCGCGACTTCATCATGAGTCGTGATAAAGCGTCTGTCTAACCGAATCGTAGGGTGCGTCGGTATTGGATTTCGAAGTCACACATCAAAAGCACCAAAGTTCATCGCTAAAGACTATTTGAAGAATGGGCTGGAATGCCAGAATTTGAACCGAATATTGCTAGCAGAGGGTTTTGATCTGTGAGAAGTGTGAATCTCCGACCGTACAGAAACTTGTGGAAACAGCGAACAGCGAACGCAAGGGCAAGAGCCTCTTTCTCTATTTGCCTGTAATTCTTTTCTGCTGGGGTTAGTGTACGGGATGAATGCACAACAGCTTTATCCGACGCGTCCAGAAACTGATGTGAAATAACAGCACCTGGGCCATATGCTGAAGCGTCTGCTGCTACGATGGTTGGCATGGATGGATGATAGTGTGTTAACAACAATCCCGAGCTAATAATGGACTTGAGTTTACAAAACGCCGCTTCACACTCTTTAATCCAGTTCCAAGTGCTGTTCTTCTGCAGTAGACAATTTAATGCTGCCAAAGCAGAGTAAGAAATGGGTGTAATAACTCTTTATTGCTGAAGGTGATTCATTTCTTCATCTACTGTTGCTAATGTTGTATAAGGCACGGGCGTCTTTGGGCGGAAAACAGGCTTAACCCCAGGTTTCAACCGAAGTGTTGCTTTCATAGTAGAATACTGAACCAATCCCGGTTGGAAAATGGTTAAAAACTGCGTCATTAGCTTCCTCGTATATACTTCAGGGTCATGTGGTTGTGATACCAAGTGGCATATGATATTCAACGGGGCATTAGCTAAGTTTAGCTGATGGAACAAATCTAAACCAAGTAAATTTAGATCAGCTGGCGTTATATAACACCCCAGTAAACGATGAATCTCGAAAAGTAACGTTACATTCCGATTGTTCTAACAAGCCAAGGTAGTTACCACATACATGACGAGGCTTTTGTATTGTCCTCTGCAGGCTTGGGCTGCCCATTTCGGTCCAAACTATACATGAGAGAATGGTGACGTCAGAGGCCGTATCTAATTGCAATCTAAACGAATGCCCATAAATATTAAGGGTAATGAACTTCCTCTCACCTGTAGATGAGCTTCGACACGAAAATACTAGGCTCAACGAACTGGTACAGTCATTTTGGTACTTCTGGATCGGTTTGGCTTGCTCTTAAGAAAAATTCCATCTCTGTGAACGACGACTTTACAATTCCTGCATCGATGTTGCCTGAATAGGCTGTTGCGTACCTAGTGCCATGCACCACAGTGCAAGCAAGGAGCAGGGGGATTCGTTTTAATCTGTCGGTTGGTTTGGGAGGTTGACAGGTATAAAGTCATTCATTTGATCTCACCATGTCAAAATAAACAAGCAGCTCGATTTACTCTTTGTGTATCTGGGAGACCAAATGCTGCTTCTCGTGGTCTCACTGTTTTAAGCATAATATTAGATCCTTGAGCCTAATTAGCTCTCTTAGACTGAATCCTGGTAGACAGTCGCTTATTTGCTGTCCAACTAAAAGGAACAGTAAGGATCCGGAGATATGGGTAACTGCCTACGCTTCATAAGACTGCGGTTCAGATAGGTTTTACAGAAACCTCTCTAACCTTCAAAAAGTTAAGCGCTGTGATATAGCAATGAAGGCTGGCAACTTTATTCCTCAATTAGGTAGACCAATTAAAAACTGAAAGACACCTGTGTTGATGTTATGGTGTCGTGGCTCAAAGATCAGCTAATGGCTACCGCCTACTGCAGCTATATTCAGATAATCACCTACTTCTAGCGAATACTATATTTAAGCATAGAAAGAAACATCTCTTGACCTGGCTACCCCCAAAGCCGACTCACCGATGGACCCAACTAGATCACATCGCTATAAGCCATCGGCGGAGAGGCTCTATTGAAGACAGCCGCCCATACTGGAGCACTTGTTTAGATTCAGATCATTCTCTTGTGCGGGCGTGTATCAGCTTGACGCTTACACCGGAATGAAACCTCTTTAGGCATTTACTTAATGATAACAAAGCTAAGAATGTATTTCAGGAACACCTAGAAAAATAGTTAGGCATCCATGCAATGAGTGATGCCCACTCTGAGGTACCTTGGAATGATTTCTAAAAAGCTATGGGAACAGAACAGATATCTGCCAGTAAGGTAAACCATAAGGTTAGAGAGAAGCCGTTGATCTCAGTAGCATCTACGGAACTGATGGATGCTCGGAGTCTCATCCCGTCTGGCCCTGAGTAAGATACGGGATGGCGTCAGATTAGGCGCAGGCTGATTAAAACCCTACGTTACAATCACGAACAGTGGTGGGTAGCGAAAGAGAGAGAGAAAGAAAGCAGCAGCGATAAGCAACAGTAAACAACTGTACAGACCTATCAAAGAAACTGCTATAAGAAACCGAATGTAAGTGAGCCTATTTCGTAAAAATATGGTCTTATTCATCTTTCTTAATCCAGCAGATAGGAAATATAAAACGAGGGAGAGCAGCGGGTCCTGATAGATTGACCTCTGAGATCTTACGTAGAATTTGGGAACTGGACGTCATCCCATCTAACTCGTCTTAATCCCTAATTGTCATAATTAATAAGAAAGGACAAAAGTCTTCTTGTGATACTCACAGAGGAATCAGTTAAACTAATGTAGTGTCCAAATTGATAGCCTTATTAATGCTTAGATGCCTAACTAGAGCTCGTGAAGAGCAGACTAGAGGAAACTAGGCTGGTTTCAGACCTAGACGTGGCTGTATAGGCCAGATATTCAAACGAGGACAGGTACTGCAACACAGACACATGTTTAGGTGTCCGACAATAGTTGTCTTGATATACATTGAAGCTGCATCTGACTCGGCTTATCATGAGGTTCTATGGCAGTCTCTGTCATTAAAAGACGTTTTGTGGTTTACAGCTAAGCTGGAAGAAAGCTAGGGGAGCCTCTATCTTTCTCTTTTGAATGATATCTTCGAGCCGTTATCTTCTCGATTGCCGCTAATACTTCTACTATATCTACTACTATGGGATTTGAATTTGTAATTGCGTCTCTGTGTTAATGTGGTATGACTCCTTCAATAGATGTATGTTCGTACGAAGTTTTACGATTTAAGTGACTGATCACGTTCAGATCTTATACACTGCGCATCATAACAACATCAACCGTTTCAGAGACCCAAAAAAAGTTAAACTAACCTTGACTTTATAAACAAACATTTCTAAACATCGTCTTGTAGCTGGGATTTGATTGGTTAGTTGCGAGTTACGATATGCTTTAGCGTGGTTACATATACGCTGAAGGAAACGAGTCAGTTGCTGTGTATTCTTTAGGAACGTAGTAACCTCCACACCTCGACGTCTGAAGATGACGCAAAAGAAAAAAAGAAATAGGTAATTACTTTAGTTTATTCGAATATAATTGTTTGAACACATAACACGCCGAAAATTATGGACGTAATCATCTAATAAAATGAGGTTTCCTACTAACTAACAAGCTAACAGAATAAGTAATACTGAAATTCTTATGCAGCTCCGTTCCGACTTCATATAATATTTAAACCAAAAGATAACTCAGCAGTCCGTGAAATAAATTTCAAAAGAGAAAGATTGAGGTGATGAGGAATTCAGAAGATTAGGATTTGAGAGAACACAAAGAATGAATGCACATGCGCCATCACAAACGATTTCTATCCATGTCACTCAACGTCTCTAAACATCGGCTACTAACATCATCTCACGAACCCCAAACTGATTGTCTACACCTACTAACATGGTTTCGTCCAGTTGTGCCATAATTCGGTTTGGCCACCCCAGCTTAGCAGTAAACCACAAAATATACGATTGAATACTTCAGGGATCAGTTCAACTGGCCTTCGGTTATACATGATCACCAGTTTACCTGAATGGCAAGTTGATATAGGTCCTCAGACTTTTTATGAAGTTGAAAAGGCCATAGGAATTCTGAAGCGAGGGACAGCAGTAGGGCCTGACAGTCTTACCCCTGAGATTTTTAAGGATGTTGGTCCATTTTTAGCAGTTAGATTGACTGCTTCGCTTGTTAACTTAGATTATTCCAATGACATAGTTCTGTTTGGTGAAGACACTGACAAGATGCAGAGTCTTCTGATTACCCTAATCAACAATGCAAGCATGTTTTCACCCTCAAAATGCAAAACGCTGCTTCAAGATCGGCTTGCATCATCGGTAATACTTCTACCTGAAATCACAGTAAAGCCGATTTTTCACATCATTGAAGACATAGGAATCTAAAAAACATGATGCATGATGTTTAGATTGTAATCAATACTATATGTATGACATAAATTCTAACGTTTAATAAGGTCAAAAGAAACAAGAGGATACATGTTGAAAAACTTTAGACTCAAAGTAAATTAACAGGGTCTTATAAAAATTATTTTAATTGCTGCAATTCGAACGTGAGGTGAAAATAAAGTAAGAGACAAAAATTAATTAGTTCAAATCAGTAACACATTACCCTTTAAACAATAATCTTATCAGATACACACACTTTGAATTAACAATAAACATAGGCTAAGATATAACTCACTTGAATAAACTACATAGTAAAGGCATAGCACCCTTCAGCAATAATTGAAGGAACAGACGTCCAGTTCGCATCATTGATGGTAATAAATGAATTATTGGATTATTCTTATTTGAAGAAATAGCTTTGCTTAACTTTGAAAATGATTCCGTTAAGTGAGCAGGCTTTCGAAAAAAATCTGTTATGCAACATAGCACTTCAACACATTGATTCCACTGAGCAACAATGGAGCTTTCGTCCAAATAAACTGGACTTACTGTATTGTTTACGCCTTTGGCGAAGTCGCATAAATGTTTTGAGAACCTTCAAAATAAGAAATGATCAAAACTAGTTAGCTAAATAAATGTGGTAGTTAGATTACAAGTACAAATCGAACATAGTTTCTGACCGGTTATTTACCAAAAGTTAATCTTTTCACAACACTTAATATGAACTCCTCGTATATAATCATAGGTAATTTTCAATTACGTGCACCTATAACGTTTGATTAAAGAATTGAAAACACCAGACATGATGAATAACTTTGAAAAAAAAAACTAAATTAATTAGTATGTTTCAAACCACAATCCGTTGAATGTGGAAATAAACTAACCAAAATAAAATAAAATTACTAAAGTATTTCCATACAAAGTCATATTAAACCTTATAAAATAGCCGAATATACAGATATCTCACTAACATTATTTCGCAGATTTAACTTCACTTAATATAATGGTAGCACATCTTAAGATCTGAATAAGCTGGACCTCCTATTTCCGATCCAAACAAAAACAAACTAAATTTTAATTCCATAAAGTATGAAATTCGCTAAATTACTGTGTTGACACTTACAGTCTACTGATAATCGAGAAAATAGTTGGAACGGCCCTGTTCCAAGAAACAAGAAACTTGAAGGCAACAAAACAGTTTTCAACGTCAATTATGCCGGACATTGATTACAGTTAATTAAATTTGCGATTAATCTAGACATTTTTAGAAAAAATCACCAAACTTTTATTATAATATGATGGATCCTTACCACACTACAGTTTCCATCACCTCACGGCAAAATATATCGAAAGTCTGTCGATTTAAAGTTCGGTATGAATTGTCAGAAACGCCATTGGAAGCAAATGGATAATCGATATTCTGTTGACACTCAAAAGTAGGGACGAGAATTCGCCTGGTGAAATCCACCAGCGAATTAGTTGACTGAGATAAAGAACAAAGCTTTTTAGAACGATAGAACCGGCAACGAAGGTGGAATGATAGTAGAGCCTGAAGGCAATCTGAATAATTTTGATCTGCAGAAAAAAGTAAGGTAGTATAAACCAGTCAATATTCGACAAGATCTCATTTGATCTTTTTAAACTGCGTTGCAAAACTAGCATTCGACAAATACTTACAAATAGAAATCACACAGAAATTAATTAGTAATAAATCATAGGATGTGGAATTGAAAGCGAAATGAATGGCAAAAAAAACAGTTTGTAGGAAGAAAAAAGAATGAATACAACTGAGCAAATATTGATTCCGACAATTACGAGAGCCTGTAGTGCCTCCACATATATTCCAGTTCTCTTACATCTAACTTGGTTAAGCCCTTTCGATTAATTTATTTAACCAAGCCATTTGTATAGCAACAACTCATACGTACCATTGTTATTTTTTATCTGCTTTGTATGAGCTTATACGACTGAGCATTGCTTACGCTTACGCACTTACTCATCCTTTTCGCTTTAATGTTAATCTCGTAATATTCCCATAAACTCACATGATTTGTATCACTTGTCATTTGACCTTGTCAATCATTCGTCGCTTTTATTCATGTGTGTGCATACCTATTTCGCTTGTCATATGTCTGTTTTATTTTTATCTGACTATATATTCTTAGTCATACTCTATCTCTTTGAGTTGGCTCACTAGCCTTCTCCACGTCGCTTCGTTCATTCGCTTGCATTGTAATCCAAAAGAGTTGGCTCACTGGCCATCTCCACGTCGCTTCGTTCATTCGCTTGCATTGTAATTCAAAGAGTTGGCTCTTAGCCTTCTTCAATTCGCTATGTGGTGTGCCTCAAATAAACGTATACGATACTTGGAGTTCATCTTCTGATTGATAAACCGAGCTTAAGAACACGCAGTAAATCGGCACACTACAAGCCTACTCAGAAATTAAACCTCCCTATATGAAGCAAATCAGCGATGTAATAACGTACTCTGACAGTCATATTTCTTTAACAGGCACTGCCAGTTGGTGAAAAAAACTGATTAGATGTGATGCGGTACAGTTGTGGAGATTCACAATAATAAAATGGTTCATCGTTTGCTATAATCTATCTATTAACCTTAACATATTCCACTTAATTGTTCCATTCCAACCAAGGATTACTCTAAAGACATTATTAAACGAATTCCATAACGTTACACAAATTTTACCACGAACAGTTTCCGTCCACAAAAGTGTTGGCTTTCATAACTGGTGACATTTTTATTATTAAACGCGACTATAAATAACAGGTTTTGAAAATCAACACTGATGTTTATGTTGATCCCGACAGTAGCTGTTCCCTTGATGTGCCGGTCGAGCTAGCCTATCATGGTGACCAAACCTAGCTATATTGGCTGAAACATATATTCCTGTAGGTTCTACCCTGCCAGGCAGCTCAATTGGAGAGCGATGACAGACAGATACAACGCAGAACTTCGTACGTAAGTACATCAGTTCAGGTAGCCATGCCCCATCAGCACAGAGACGCAACTGTCAGTTCAAATCCAACAGTGATAGCGATAATAGAAGTATTAGCAGTAATGGAGAAGATTAGGGAGCGAAGATATGATTCGAGAAGTATAATTCAGAGAGATAAATTTAGAAGGAAAAAGATAGAGATTATGAGGAATTCAGAATTAGCGAGAACACAAAGAGTGGATGCACCTGCGCCATTGCAAACGATTCTGAGCCATGTCGATCAAGGTCTCTAACCATCGGTGACTATCGTCTCGCGGACCCCAACCAGGTAGCCTACATCCACCAACATGATTCAGTTCACTTGTCAGTGACTTCATGGATTTCTTCCATGTTTTGGTTTGGCCGCCCCTAGCTTTCTTCCAACCCAAAGGCCATAGGAAATCTGAAGCAAAGGAGAGCAGAAGGTCCTGTCCTGATAGATTGACCCCTGAGGTTGTTAAAGATGGTGGTCCAGTTTTAGCAGTGAAATTGACTGAGATATTAGCTAGAATTCGGGAACTGTACCTGATCCCATTCGACTGTTTTCAATCACTGCCTGTGTCAATCTATACGAAAGGACAAGAGTCCTCTTGTGACAATCACACTGGAATCATTTTAACTAATATAGTACCGAAAATAATGACCTCATTAAAATTCAGACACCTAACAAGAGCTCGTGAAGAGCAGACTTCAAAAAACCACGCTGATTTTCGACCAGGACGTGACTGTATAGACCAAATATTCGCACATCATCAAGTCCTAGAATATAGACACACATCCAGACGTCCGACAGTACTAGTATTTCTTGAACTAAAGGCGTCATTCGATCTTGAGGTACTTAGACAGTGTATTTCAATGAAAGGAGTATCAGAAAGGTCGAGTTAGAGCTTACGGTGAAATGTATTCGTAAATGATTACTTCAGGAGGTGATTAACACAGATGGCCAGTCTCTCCATTCTTATTCCTCTTTGTCATAGACATGCTTTTTATTAACACACTTTTATCTTCTGAAATTTCAGGGGTTGAACTTTTACCAGGAGATTCAGTTGTTCACTTGCAGTATGCCGAAGATATAGTTCTACATGTTCAGGACGCTGACAACCTTAAGCAATAGTGCCAGCATTTTCGGCATGCGATTCTACCCGTCGAGATTACAAAATGCTGCTTGAGGATTGGCTTGCATCGGCACCCCAAATAGTGATAGGGCGTGAAGTAGTTTTGTGTCGACCGCTCCACTTATCTCAGGAGTTTCGTCAGTGCTGATGGCCTGCTGTCTAACGACATCTGAGCATTGATGCAGAGGGTTCGACTGGCTTTAGCCAATTTGCGTCATTTACGGCGTATGCGAGATATTCGTCTGCTAACTATAGGACGAATGTACTGTGCAGTAGTTCGCTTCGTTCTAATTTATGGCTGTAAAACATGCATAGTATGAGTTGAGGATATCCGTAAATTACTGGTTTTCGATCATAGATGTCTTCGAATCGCTGCTCGTATATCCTAGGACCACCGAGTAAACAATGCTGTTGTTAGGAAACGAGTATTCGGTAAGAATGGCAATCAATACATTCAGTAGTGAATCTTCATCAGTTGAGGTGGTTGGGACATGTGCTGCGTATGTTCAACCACCGAATGCCTCGACGAGCGATGTTTTGTGGTTTACAGCTAAGCTGGAAGAAAGCTAGGGGCGGCGAAACAAGAACGTGGCACAAATCGATGAAGTGACCGACAACTGGACTGGACCACGTTGGTCAGTGTAGACTACCAGTTTGGGGTTCGTGAGATGATGATAGTTATCGATGATTAGAGACGTTGAGTGATATGGGTAGAAATCGTTTGCGATGGTGCAGGTGCATTCATTCTTTGTGTTCTCTCAAATCATAAACTTCTGAATTCCTCATATCTTTGAGCCCTTATCTTCTCCATTGCCGCTAATATTTCTACTATATCTACTACTATGGGATTTGAATTTTCAATTGCGTCTCTGTGTTAATGTACGCAAATGCATATGCAAGTTTACATTGGCTTTACCGGATAAAACTTTAGAGAACCAGATCGATTAAATTTGCATCAAAAAAAATTCAGAAAGTAAATAAACGACAGAGGAACAAAGAGAGGAGCTGGTTTAGCATTATATAGCCATCTGGTGCTTTCCAGGCTAAAATTAAAGATAAATAAATTTTTGGATAATTGAACAAGCAACATTGTAAAATTTCAATACAGCTTTATTTCGAGATGCTAACTACTTCAAGACGACATTCATTAACATGGTCCTTGATGTACTAGAAGAGGTAACAAATACTGAGAATAAAATCTGAAAAGGTTTCAGGAAGCAATCGCTTTAGCATGCCAGGTTATGGGGCCCAAAAATCATCAGCAAGAAAGAAAACGGGCCTCTGTGGATATGCTGAAAAACATTCAGGATAAAAAAACGAGAAGACAGCAATTAACGACGTCCGAACAAGAGTGAAGAAAATTAGAGCACAGGTTGAATATACAGAAGCAAACCAACCAGAGTTTTTGAGCTGACAAGGGAACAGACTTCAAGATGGAGAAATAAGGAAGCACTATTTGATACAATTAAGAAGCTAAAACAGAGTGATAATCACCAACAGGGGAGGGAAGTCAATCAGTGAGGACCAAGAGCAGAGGAACAGGTGGAAGAAGCACTTTTAATAGATCAGCTCATCTAAACAACGAGACGTCGAAGTGGCATACGCAGACTCCTATAAAGATTATACTGTAACCACAATCAAAGAGATCAGCAGGAACATCGAACAAATCAGGAATGGTCGAGCAATAAGACGAGAAACCATACCACTGGAAACACTGAATTCAGATGTAGAAGCAGCTGCGTATATATTTTATGTGTTCTTCGATCAAAGAAGACTTAGGAGGAAAAGTAACAAACTGGAAAAAGAGCGATGTACCTCATCAAGATACCGAATAACTGTGGGTTACGGAAAGATTACACTACAGCCGACGACGGACAATGTTTCCAACGGAGTACTGACGAACAGAATAAAAGATTGAATAGACGTACAACATAGAGACCAACAAATTGGCTTCAGTAAGGATAAATCACTTATAGACAGACTCGCGATACTGTAAATCATTGTTGAACAATCAATTGAGTGAGAATCGTCACTATAAATCAACTTCCTCGATTGGGGCAGTATTCTACAGTGTATCTAAAAACACTGCAGAACGTTTGTTGACACTGATGTACCTGAAGAAATCATCACCGTCAAATGGAACTCATAAGATGAACTGTATTGCAAAGTTGTACAAAGACGGCTGCTCACAGCGAATGAAAACGGATGTCGCACAAGACTGCTTCCACTTGCCTATTTTCTTTCTTCTATTGGATGACTGGATTATGAAAACTTCGACATCACAGGAATGGCACGGAATACAATGAACATCTTGGAATCATTGGGATGACTAGGAATTTTTAGATAACTTAGCCCTTCTATCGTATACACAACAACAATTTACAATGGATACAATATAGCAGCAGCAATCAGATCTTCAGGCCTTAACATTCATACGGGGAGAAAAATCTGGAAATCCAACACAACAAGCACCACCCACGTTACAAGTAATAGAGAAGCTCTGAAAGAGATGGAAGCCTTCATAAACTCGGGCTGCATCACAAATGAACAATGAGGGTCTGATACAGATATTCGTACAGGAATCAGGAAATCAAGTGCACTATACTTAAAACTGAAGAATACCTGAAACTCAGGACAAAAGTTATCAGAAATCAAAGTGGAAAGTTCTAAAACCAATCCTAAAACAGTCCTATGATATGGCGACGAAACTTGGAGAACTACGAGAACTGTTGCCAAAAAAGACCAACAACAATAATAGTCCGTTGCAGAAAATCAACCTTCCAGCTGGAGAGGAGATCAGTAAAAGTTGCTGAAAGTGGATAGGCAACACCTTATGGGAAATCACCAAACTGTATCACAAGACAAAACATGACGTGGCATTGGCAAGGGAAAGGGAAAAGAGGAAGACATCAAAAGGATGAATAGCACTTGGTAACAACTGGGAAGGAAAGTTCCAGACAGAGTTGGTCAAATGCCTGTGTCCCGAGAGAGTTTTAGCTGAATATTTGCTTAGTTTTAGATATTAATGAAAGTTATTACCTTTCAACTTGACAGAAGTTTCCCATTCTTGATTCAGAATATCTTTTGTGTACGAGAATAAATCTGGAACCTGAAAATTAAAAAATGAGATCACTTAATAAAACTGAGACTTTAGTATGTGATGATACCCTTTTTCCAACCTAATCCCTCAAAAAATTAGATCGATAAAAGAACTACTAATGATCTCACTTAGTATGGTACCTTTATTTGCCGCAAATGTTTATCGCACTGGAAATTTAACTTTGATGTTTGTAATTTACATTTCCCTTATTGATTTTTGTAATTTTGTTACGTATTACAGCTTCCAACATTCTAATAAAAAAAAGTTGTTCATTTCAAGTATCTTCATGATAAAATTATCATTATCAGTTTATACCGTGATTGTAACTTGAGTACGTCCGTAAAATATGATGAGAAAATATGGAATCTGAAGCTGTTTGATAAAATGCGAGAAATACTGAAACTACTTCAGAGCTATGAATACAAGTTGCTTTGATTGTTGTAAGTAGAAAATTAGCTACTGAGAGAAGAATTTCTCCACCATAAAAAACTACAAATTATTCATTCAAACCATGTACATTGCATTTGTGTATAATCAATGCCCAATTATGTAAAAATGGCTTTGATCTAAACTATAAAAAAGATATCAGAGTTTTTTTAGTTACAAACAAAAACAATTAGTATTATTAATTACCCAAAATGTATTTTCATCCGATCGAGATGACATGTTACGGTTGTTCTGACATTCATAATATAACGAAGACAAATAAAATACAAGACGACAGTGTAAAAGAGCTGCATTCGCATTAGGTAAACAGGATGGTGCTAAACTCTTCATCAAGTACTGGATGATTATGCGCAGGTTTTCAGATAAGGCTGAATAGTCTGACAATAAACATAAAAACACGATTACGCGGTTAAAAATAAGAGTGGATTCGGAACAATAATTCAAACTAAGGAGCCGATATTTTATCAACATAACTTTCCAATTATCGAAATATGAGGCCTAGAGTCATATGAAACAGCATAAAATAAATAAAGATGAGTCCTCCAAACAATCAATAAGAGGGAAAAACACTGAAAGTTACAGCAACTAGGAAAGACAGTGTGAAATATTATAATACAACATAATCGAGATTTAGAGGAAGTTTGTTAAGGTAAATAAGCGCTGGCAAAGGTTTAACAAGTAACTACACACACAACGAAAATAACCAAGAGAAGAGAGGAAATATTCCACAACAGATTAGGTCAATAGATTCAGGTACAAATAAAAAATGAGCTGGTAAGAGATTTGGTTACGCATAAAACTAACAATGGTTAAACAAGATAGAAAAGGAAGAAATGAAGCTAGAAATAAAGTACATATTCAAATACATATGGAGCAATTTCAGCTAGGTTAGCTTGAATCCTACCAACATATGTGAGAATAAAATTGATTATACACGTTTAGCCACTATAAACTATAACCGAAAATAAAATAGAGAAACAAATCCGCTGTAGAAATTCGAGGGTTACTGTTAGTATGGGCCTGGATGAACCAGGAAGGTTATGCATGGCGTTAGCTACCTAACGAATACTGAATATACGCAAACCAGAAAACATCTTCCTAATCACTTAAACTACGCCCTGCGAGTTCGATAGTCGTCATTTGGAAGATTTATGACGCTTCACCATGAAAACCGAATTCCTTCGGAAAATGCCTGACAAACAAAAAGAGTTGCACTGATGCTGTGCGAACAAGCACAAAAGGCACTTAAAGGATGGGGATCCCATAGACCCAGGATCATCAAAGCATACTTCAAGACAAAGAAAGACGAGGTTATAATGAGTGTCATCCAGTGCTATATGCCTACCAACGATTACAATGAGGACGTTAAAGATCAATTTTATGAGACGCTGCAGTCAATCATCGGGAAATAACTTGATCATTCTGATAGATCTTAAAAATCAAAGTTAGAATGGATAACACTGGATATGAAGACTTAATGGAACGATATGTATTAGAAGAAAGGAAAGGAAACGGTGGGATATTCACAAATCTATGTGCTTTCAGCAATCTAGTTATACATAGTGCCATGTTCCTATATGGATCGCTGAAGACAATTTCTTGTACAATGTCTGATTAAATAGCATCAATAAGAACTCAGAAAGGGATATGTCTTTGTCTTTTCTCGGTTATACAGAGCAAACGCCATAAACTAAATGTATCAAATAAAACATAATCTCGAAACAATCAATAGTATTTGAAGACAGATACATACATACTAATATTAACGTACCAATTTTAGGCACATTTATTTCTTTTAAAATGTGCAGTGAGTCATGATTTTCATCGCAAATATCGACAAAAAGTTTTCCATCCACTTCATTCATTTGTTTTGAAAATAATGTTGCTTGGTCCACATCGTAATCATTATTAATAGGCCTATAGTGGTCTGGTATGATGATACCTTGTGCATTTATCACAATTTCACGTGCAGAACGTATACTGATGTTCGATTTACAACATTTAGCAAATATGTTTATGGTATTATATGTGAAGGTGGTCATAGAATTGATAAATAATGATTCAGAGCTGTCAAATAAATATCGTTCGAGGTTAGGAGAAAGATTGGTGAATCCATTCGTGAAAATCAGCAAAGAACGTAAACAAGTACATACGATGGACGACATCTGAGAACTTATTTCCGATGAAAACGTTCCAATAAATTCAATCTCGTTAGATGGATCAATTGTCTTAAAATTAGGTGCATTCGGCTGTGATTTTTTGGACACGGCGATATCCTGTGAGTTACTTTCATCATCTGATGAATCGGATGACGAAATTATGTCACCCATATTATTCTTAGAACAATTTGTGTGCTGAGCCAAATCTAATAGTAAAAAAAATGTCACACAAAATTATCAATAATAAAACTAAAGCCAACACAAAACAAAAAGATATCTGACCTGGAATATAATCCACTGCACGCACTAGTATAGAGACAATATAGGGAACAATAAAAGTGAAATATGCAAGCTTCGAAGATTCCGTGAGATTGTTTAAACGCTCAAATGTATTCCATCCATATGTGGCTGGTAAGCTAAGAGAGGAAAATAACATCAGTTATATTCAAAATACCTAGTGATCATAAAAACACATCTATAGTGTTTTGGTGCATCATACAGAATAAATTTTGCAAGTTATTAAAATTCGGATCTCGTTCCAAAAAAATCTATGTATTGTAACATAATATTATAACATTAAGTAACAACCGAATTATTCGTTTCTAAAACATCTCCAAAATCAAGAGTAGCATAATATAAACATAATAGTAGCCTTACCAATGAATTTTAGGTTACAGTTAAGTGAGATTTAATTTGTCCCAATTCCAAATTCAATAAGATGCAAAAGTAATGAAATGTGTAGGGAAAATGTGAATGACCTTCAAAGAATGTGATATATTATACGATGAGTTTTACAAACTGCTGGTTATTATTCCGTTGTCGAAGTTATTTAATCAGATTGCATTATCGTCGAAATGCAAAATGTTGCTTGAGTATTAACTTGTACCGGCACCCGAACTAGTGATAGGGCGTGAAGTAGTTGAGTGCGTCGACCGCTCCACTTATCTCGGGAGTCTCAAATCCTAATTTTCTGAATTCCTCGTCGCCTCTATCTTTCTCTTTTGAAATTTATTTCACCGAATTATACTTATTGAATAATATCTTTAAGCCTTAATCTTCTCCATTGCTGCTAATATTTCTATTACATATACTACTATGGGATTTGAATTTACTATAGCGTCTCTGTGTTAATGTGGAATGGTAACTTGAACTAATGTACGTACGTATGAAGTAAACAATTTTTTAGTGACGATAACTATACACAATTATCGGAAACCGTCAACCTTAATCGGCAAGACTGTACAAGTATAGCTTAGAGCTGATCTCACTGGCGCATTGTAAACATGACGCTATGTAACTACCTGATACCATTAAAGGGCCTACGATGGCCCGGACTGGTTGGTTGTGAAAAAGGAAGAAACATTGTGCAGTGAAGAAAGGAATTACTTGTGAACAAGACGAGTTCTAGTTCTGTCAGAGGTGTATGGATGGTTACTACTTCCTCGTTGTTTACACCGTGGAGTAATATTTCTTCTCAGAAACCTGAGAGCATGATGGTGGATACCTGATTGAGACTTTTCACATAGTTTTGTGTGAACAATTAGCGATATCTTAGCTGAATACTTTTAAGGCCTAAACGCAAAACCGAAAATTGTGAAAGTGAGGTGTACTATTTTCAAGGTTGATCAATTTTAATATTTCCAATCCCTTGTGGGAAAGGTGCACAAATGAAGAATTTGGTTATCCATGAGAAACACCCATCATAGAATATTACATTTTAGATTGCTAAACATGAACATTAGCACGTCGAATATTTAAATGTATAAATATTTAATAAGCTTACGGGAGCCCAATAACATAGTCCAACCGGATACTTAATTCATCAAGGAGCCAAGTTAGTGTTGCCCAATCAATAGAACTCACACTGGATACTTCATTATCACTACATTTTACTATCCATGGCCAAGAGCTTAAACCTAAAACAATAGCACTGAGATCCAATTCGCGAAAACAAGTTGTCAATTCACGTAAATTTGGCTAGTAAAATGAAAAAGAACAGTTCTACATTTTTAATAGGCTTAGTTAAAAGTTGTTGGTAAGCAACCTGAATACAAAAACAAATGAAATCGATCGGATTAAAAAATATCAAATATAAAGCGGTGGTAAAATTAGGAAAACTGATCAGTGTGCTAAATTTGCAGTTGTTATCTTTCACTAAGTAAGTGTAGGAGTTATGCATTTTTTCAGTGGCAAAAACGCTTGAATTCTACGTGGTTTAACATTAAAATTAACACATGTGTCGTACAACAAAACAAAATAAAGATGGAAGATTGGAATTACTTTTAACTTTGATGAATTTGTCATGTACAAAACCATTAACTGGGAGGTGTAAGCTCGACAGGAACTGTTTGTCTTTAGATTTCTATGCGCCAAAGAAAATTAAACAGCCAAGTCTACTAGGAATGAGAAAAATACCTTTGAAGACGTGCGTAATTCTTTCTTTCTACTAGCCTGACCAAGACTATGATTCAACAACCGGAACGACTAATAGGTCATACAAGTATAAATTATTATTTCACAGAATCTTCGACTCCAATGCCTTACTAGCGTGACAGGAAGAAAATGAATGCCACGGATTGTGAACTACGTCGTTTAAGGCCCACTTCATTAATAACGGTTACCATGTGGAAGGCTAATATGGGGTTTGCGATTCCTAGAACGACTCAGTTCAACAATTAATAACTTCATAGATAAATCTAAGTTTTGGTCTGGCAGTTGAATACTGAGGTTTCATTACACAACAACCCATCAGGATTGATGAAACTTCAAAGGTTGGTAAAGTTGTCGAAGAACTTAATTACTTCAGTCCCTACGATCAAATTACCTGTTAACGCTGACAAGTTCTGTGGATGGAAAGAGAGAAATTGTTATGATGTGCAGTGTCCAAGAACTGACCGTGAATGGTTTTGGCGACCCCATCCCGTAGAAAATTAACTCGCTAAAAATTGCTAACCAGAAAAAATAATTCAAATTATTTTAACTCTGCCTTGGGAGTAAGAAGGTCTTTATTCACAAGTGTTATGACAGCTCATGATGAAAGTCGAGTACCCTCGGAAGTCACGAGGCCGATGCCTCTTCTCACAACCAGGGTAACCATTCCTTTAGGTAAATCGAACAATGTGGGAGACCGGAAGACTGTTCCTAATTGCTGCAGAGAGGAAAAGATACAACCTGAAGGTTCTTGGAACCAGTGAAACGCATAGGACGCAGGTTTAACAACTGAGTCTAGCTTCAGGAGAGCTGCTATGATACTCTGGTCATGAAGAAGAAAATGTCTGACACACCACGAGTTGTACTGATGCTGTCCAAACGAGCACAAAAGGCACTGATAGCATGGGAATTTCATGATTCCACGATCATCAAAACGTCCCTCAAAACAAAGAAAGAGGGCATTACAGCGAATGTCATCCACTGATATGCAACTACCAACGACTACAACGAAGACGTTAGAGATCAATTCTACGAGACTGTAGTCAATCCCGGATAGATATGTTGACCAAAGGATTGGACCATTCTGATGGTAAACCTAAATTTCAAGGCTGGAATGGACAACACTAGATGTGTAGACATAACAGAACGTCATGGACTGGGAGAAAGGAACGAAAACGATGGGAGATTTGCAAACCTATGTGCCTTCAACAAACTGGTCATTGGCGGCACAATATTCCCACACAAATGTATACGCGAAGCTAAATGGATTTCACTGGATCACACTAAATAGAACCAAATCGACCATGTATGTGTCAATCCCGACCGTAGCTGCTACTTTGACGTGGTGGTCGGGCTTGCCTATCGTGATGACCCAACCGAGCTATACTGGCTGGAACATATGTTCATGAAGGTCCTACCATGCCAGGCTGGTCGATTGGAGAAGGATGAGACTAAAAGCAGCTACCCATATCTGAGGGCAAAGTCGTACTGCTGACTGCAGAGAGGTGTGACAGCAGTAAGGTGTTTCCCTCGGATAACCAGCATCTCCAGCGATGCTGCCTTCTCACAAGGACGGAAGGGTTAGAGAAGGTCGACCCTAAAAATGTCACACCTCACCCTACCTCACAAATTTCCGTCTCCGGCGATAAGGGTACCCACTAAGGGCCTTTAAGAACGCAGCTGATCCTCAAAAAACCTTCCATAAAAAGGCCGTGCGTGACCGGCCTCAAGCAGTTGTCCCTTGGGCTCTGCGGTCACGCGCCCAGGTCTCTAAGACCAACACTAATCTATTTTCCTTTTCAGGTTCCTCAAGAAACAACCTTCCACGGTGTGGGCAGACGGGAAGTGACAACCGCCCCCATACCCGTAACAGCACACGAGACCAAATTGGTCAAAATCAAATCCTTCCTACACCCACACATACCTCTCTTCTCTCCACAACTAACTCTACTCACATTCCCTTATCTCACTCACTGCACCGCTAATGCAAACGATGCGAGTTCACGAAACGTCATTCCTGGTTTCTTGAAACCTCGTTCTAGACTGCTTGTTGGAGCATTTAATGTACGGACATGGTGTCAAATTGGGAAACAGACATCATTAGCAAGGACTTTAGAATCTCGTGCCATCGATGTATGCTGCGTCTCGGAAACGCGCATACAGGATCCTAGTAAAATTATTAATCTGATTTCGCCTTGTCAAAATAAAGAAGCAGATCGATTTACTCTTCATGTATCTGGAAGCCCTGATGCTGCTTCCAGGGGTCTTGCTGGTGTAGGCATAGCATCGAGTCATAGAGCTGAACAAACTCTCCTTGACTGGATCCCTGTAGGTAGTCGCTTATGCGCTGCCGACTAAACGGGACAGTAAGGACTCGTAAAGACAGAGACACTCGCCGTTGCTTATTCGTCGTATCTGCCTATGCCCCACTGACTACAGTTCAGACGAGGTGAAAGATGAGTTTTAAAGAAAGCTTTCGGACCTCCTCCAAAACGTTAGGCGTTCTGATATATTTATAATGGCTGGTGACTTCAATGCTCAAGTAGGTAGACTAAGTGAGCAGGAGAGACACCTAGGTGGATGTTATGGTGTCGCGGCTCAGATAACAGACAATGGTGACCGTCTGTTGCAAGTATGCTCAGACAACCGCCTATTCTTAGCAAACACTAACTTTAGGCATAAGGAAAAGCATCTTTTGACCTGGCGACATCCAAAGTCGTCTCAACATTGGACCCAACTCGGTTCGATAGAGAACAGTCGCTCGTTCTGGTGCACACGTTTAGATTCAGATCATGCCCTAGTGCGAGCGCGTATTTGTTTGAGGCTTACTGGGCGTAGGAAAAACACCGTAAGGAAGCCTCTTAGGGTTTTACTTAATGATAATAGGGCGAATAATATATTTCAGCAACAACTAGAAAGACAATTAGGCGACCATTTAAGCGATTCCCATTCAGAAGCAGGATGGAATGATATCAAAAAGGCTGTGGAAACAGCAGTGAGATCTGCTAGTAAGGTTGACCATAAGGCTAGAATGAAACCGTGGATCTCTGTAGCATCCACCGATCTGATGGATGCCCGAAAACTCATCCCACCTGGCTCTGAACATGATGAAGAACGAAGTCAACTTAGGCGCAGACTTATAAAAAGCCTACGTAACGATCGCGAACAGTGGTGGGTGGAGAAAACAAAAGCGATGGAAAAGGCAGCGGCGATCGGCAACAATAGACATCTTTTCCGACTTATCAAGGAAACTGGTATTAGGAATCCTAGTGTAAGTGAGAATGTCTCAGAAAATGACAGGACTATTATTTATTCTCAATCCAGTAGATTGGATCGATGGGCAGAACACATCAGGGATCAGTTCAACTGGCCTCGAGCCACTCTTCGGTTACCCACGATCTCCAGTCATCTTGAATGGCAAATCGACGTAAGTCCCCCCTAGTCTTAATGAAGTTGAAAAAGCGTTAGGAAATTTGAAGCGAGGGCGAGCTGCAGGTCCTGATAGACTGACCCCTGAGATATTTAAGGATGGTGGTCCAGTTTTAGCAGCTAGGTTGACTGAGATCTTAGGTAGAATCTGGGAACCGGACGTAATCCCATCCAACTGATCTCAATCACTGATTGCCCTAATCTACGAGAAAGGATACAAGTTCTCTTGCGACAACCACAGGGGAATAAGTCTAACTAATATAGTATCTAAAATATTGGCCTCAATAATACTTCGACTCTTAACGAAAGTTCGTGAAGAGCAGACTCGAGAAAACCAGTCTGGTTTTCGACCTGGACGTGGTTGTATAGACCACATCTTCACACTACGACAGGTCCTGGAACACAGACACACATTTAAACGTCCTACAATTGTTGTTTTCTTGAACCTAAAAGCGGCATTTGACTCTGTAGATCGTGAGGTTCTGTGGCAGTGTCTGTCATTGAAAGGTGTACCAAAGAAGTACATTAACCTCATGCAAGCTCTCTACTCGAACACCACTGGTCGGGTGAGAGCTTATGGCGAACTGTCACTGAAATTCTTTACTTCAAGTGGTGTCCGTCAGGGATGTCCACTCTCTCCCTTCTTGTTTAATTTTATCATAGACATGATCCTAGAAATAACCTTATCCTCGTCTGAATTTTCAGGAGTAGACCTTTTACAAGGTGGCTCGCTTATTGACTTAGAATATGCCGATGACATTGTCCTACTTGGTGAAGACGCTGACAAAATGCAGAGTCTTCTGACTACCCTAAGCAACAATGCAAGCATGTTCGGGATGCGGTTTCCCCCCTCGAAATGCAAAATGTTGCTTCAACACTGGGTTGCACCGGCACCTGAACAAGTGGTAGGGAGTGAAGTAGTCGAACGTGTAGACCGCTTCACTTATCTTGGGAGTCTCATCAGTGCCGATGGCCTGGTGACTGACGAAATCTCAGCTCGGATACAGAAGGCTCGATTGGCTTTTGCCAACCTGCGTCACTTATGGCGTAGGCGTGATATCCGTTTGTTGACTAAAGGACGAGTGTACTGCGCAGTAGCTCGCTCCGTCTTACTTTATGGCTGTGAAACATGGCCAATGAGAGTAGAAGATATTCGTAGGTTACTGGTTTACGATCATAGGTGTCTTCGAAGCATTGCTCGTATATCCTGGGACACCCGAGTGAGCAACGCTGTTATTAGGAAGCAGGTGCTAGGTAAGAATGGCAGATCAATAGATGAAGTAATGAAACATCACCAGTTGAGGTGGTTGGGACATGCGCTGCGTATGCCTAACCACCGACTGCCTCGAAGAGCTTTGTTTTGTATTGTAGGAGTAGGTTGGAAGAAAGTTAGGGGCGGCCAAACAAAAACATGGCATAAATCCATGAAGTCATTGACGAGTGGACTTAGCCATGTCGGTAATTGTCGACTACCTGGTTGGGGTCCGCGAGATGATAATAATCGATGGTTAGAGACCTTGAATAACATGGCTCAAAATCGTTCGCAATGGCGCCGGTGCATGTATTCTTTGTGTTCTCTCAAATCCCAATCTTCTGGATTATTCAACACCTTTAGTTTTGACTTTCTAAACTTTTCTCACTGAATCATACTTCTTGAATAATATCGTCTAATCCTAGCCTCTTCGATTACTTCTAATACCCGTACTAACTCTTCTACTATTGGATTTGAATTGACAATTACATCTCTGTGCTGATGTGGTATGGCAACATGAACTGATGTACTTACGTACGAAGTTCTACGTTGCATCTGACTGACTGTATGCGTCAATACAAAGTTCAGAAGGACGATGGAGTACGTGATAACCAAGAGAGGAGCCTCAGATCACCACTTTCCGGTCGCCAAAATGAAACAGAAACTCAAGAAGCACTGGAAAACGGGGTGTACAACATCACAAAAGTTTAATACGGTCTTTCTTCGGGATACTGGAAAACTCAACGAATTCAAGATAGCCCTCATCAATAAGTTCCAGGCTTTGTACGACCTATTCAATGAAGAGAAAACAACCATGGAGAACAAGTGGACAGGGATCAAGGAGGCAATCACTTCAACATGTCAGGAATATCTGGGTCACAAGAAATGGAAATGTCGGTACTCTTGATAAATGTCAAGTGAGGACCAAGAAGGCAGCAATCAACATCAACCGAACAAGAGCAGAGCAAGCCAAGGCACAAGTTGAATACACAAAGGTAAACAGGCAAGTGAAGAGGAGCATCAGCCGAAAAGCCAGAACGAGCAGTGAAAAACAAGGAAGGCAAAGCAATCATCGACACTGAAAAACAGCGAAACAGGTGGGTAGAGCACTTCCAGGATCTCCTGAATCAACCAGCTCCACTGTACCCACTCAATACCGAAGCAGCATCCACCGATCTCCCAATTATTGTTGGCCTACCAACAATTAAAGAAATTAGTATGGCCATCAGACAAATCAACAGAGGCAAAGCAGCAGGACCAGACAACATTCCAGCAGTCACTGAAAGCAGACGTAGCAGTAACTGCGAAGATACTCCACATCCTCTTCAGCAAGATTTGGGATCAAGAACAAGTACCGACATACTGGAAAGTAGGACAACTGATCAAGATACCAGAGAAACGTGATCTCAGCAAGTGTGAGAACTACAGAGGAATCATTCTCCGATCCATAACAGATAAAGTCTTCATCAGGGTATTGTTAGACAGAATAAAGGACTTCGTAGACGCCCAACATCGAGAACAGTACGTTGGATACCGTAAGGATTGATAATATACCGACCAAATTGCAACATTACGGGTCATTGTAGAACGATCAACTGAATGGAACTCACCACTCTACATCAGCTTCATTGACTACGAGAAAGCATTTGATAGTCTGAACAGAACAACACTATTAGGGCTTCTTTTATGAAGTCAAGAGAAGACGAAGAGTGTAGCAGCAGCCTCAGCAGCAACAGGTCTAAACATTCACATATGGAAAAGCAAGATTCTCTGATACAACACGACATGCACCAACCAAATCACTTATGATGGAATTGCCTTGGAGGACGTAAAAACCTTTACATATATGGGTAGCATCATTGACGAGCAAAGTGGATCTGATCCAGATGTGAAGGTGCGGGTCGGCAAAGCATCTGGAACTCGAAACAACTGTCGATAAACACCAAAGTCACAATTTCCAATACAAATGTCAAGACAGTTCTACTGTAGGGAGCGGAAACTTGGAGAACTACCAAAGCCATTGCCTACAAGGTACAGGTATTCATTAACAGTTGTTTACGCGAAATACTTCCGATCCGTTGATCAGACACCATCAGGAACAACCTACTGTGGGAAAGAACAAACCAAGTTCCAGTGGAGGAGGAAATCAGGAAGAAGCGCTGGAGGTGGATAGCACACGCATCGCGGGAAGCACCCAACTGCGTCACAAGACAAGCCCTCACTTGAAACCCTCAAGTTTTAAAGGGAAAGATGAAGGCCAAGCAACACATTACGCCGAGAAGTAGAGACAGAAAAGAAGAATAATTAACAAAATTTGGACAGAACTAGAAAGGGAAGCCCAGGATAGCGTAGGTTGACGAATAGTGGTCGCAGACCTATGCTCCATTGGGGGTAACAGGCGTAAGTATATATATATATATATATATATATATATATATATATATATATCCCAAATGCTTAGGAAATGAACCTGTCTATAGACTAATGCTATGTATTCGTTCTTTTGAAAATTTCTGATGGTCATCAAACAGGTTTCTCATTCGGTCACTTTTTACTGACCAACTAACTACATCAGAAACCGATCCAAAGCTTTATGCGATCATCAACCAAGACATTTTACTGACTTTGAGATTTGTTACTATTGCTACGAGACTATATCATCTGCGTACTCTAAGTCAATGAAAGTAGCATAGGATTTTATTCCAAAAAACGTCAACTCACATCAATGTAAAAGAAATTTTCAGTTTTAGGATTTGAAAATCAGATGAGACTATTTCAGAAGATCCGCAGACACATTTTCTAATTGTTTCGCAACTTTAAAACTTTCCTACTATATGATATATCAAATGAAATTCCTATATTTTTAGTGATGCCTTTTTACAAACGTTTACACAGTCAATTGGTAAAAGCAATTTCGAATATGAAATATGATCGAATAAAACTTTTAGCAAGTTCATTAATCATGTCCTATCAAAACCTTTGATGTTTGTCTGATAATTCCTGTTTGAATTTGTTTTATTTGCTTTGAGGTTCGATAAAGTAATTATAGTCATTAACAGAAGCATAAGCTTTTTCTACAAGTGGGATAAGTTAAATGTGAATACGCCAGGGAGAAGTTGCAGTCTAGCGAATTAAACAGTGTGATATACAAATCATATAAAAAAGGTAAACAGTGGAAATTAGAATTAGTTTATGTTATGGAGTTCCAAAATATTTTTCTAAAGGTCCATAAAACGTCAGGAAAACTTTTATCGAAACGGCGCTGAACAGAAGCTTCTGATGAGTGTCTAGAAAATGGAGAACCACGCGTCACGTATTTGGGTGGATATTTCACTCATAATGCTATCGTATTCGGTATGATCTCTGGGAGTCCTAGAAAATCAAGGTCACGCGTGATTCCATAACTACCTTCGATTTTTTGTACACAATCTAACCTTCGAGTAAAACTCTTACTCATGTCTTTTCTCTGATGCTCCAGTTGACATGTAGAAGTAGTTTAGAGTTACAAGAAGCAGTTACAAAAGCATGAATAAGCGTTTCAGTGATAAACCTATCAGTTTACAATCATTAAGTAGATTAACAAATCTTCATTCAGTTGAACTAGTATATTTACCATCAATGTCAGTAACAGTATTGCAGTAAATATTTACTGCCCTAACGATTAAAGTAACCAAAAAGAAATACAATTATAATGCTTATAAACGAAGTGGGGAAAGGTGTTTTTGATACAATTATGAGGAATCAAAACTCACACAATATATTATGGGAGAAATCAAACAAATACTACTAAGTATCAAATTAATGGGAAATCAATTTGCCTGAAATATACATTTCTTCAGTTCTATTCGACTCTACAAATTATTGGTATATCCAGTCAAAGTCGGCTACGATTGAAGAGAAAAGACAAACATTTAGAGCAGCTACATTAAACAGAAGAGATTAAACCACTTTAGTTTTACCCAAAGCTATTAGGTGAAAACATTAATGTTATGTGACTCTCCATAGAACAGTTGGACTTGTATGACTATGTATCGTAAATTTCAGTAAAACTCATATCCACACAAATATCTGTGAATGATTCACGTGTAAATGATGACAAAATAACAAAATGAACCAGTTTATTTTTAAGCCTAGAATATAAATACTGTCTTCATTCTGCATTTTCAAACATATGTTTACTCCGAAATTTTGCTTCAACGGTCCAGAACAGTTTTTAAGTTACGTTTAGATTTCTAGCTGAATAATTCTTGGAAATTGAGATTCGTACAGTTTAAAAGGCAAATCGACACTGTGTATATTAGCTATACATCAGTAAACTTACTGATGAATTATTAAACTACGGGCGTATTATATAAAACATCGTATCCTATAAAGCACAGCTCAATTATCAAATATCATACATAGAGAATCGCAAATCCATTTTAATGATTAAGTTAAACAATAATAATAATAATAATAATAATAATAGCTGAAAAGAAGTGTAGATTAAGACATGAATATTAGCATAGAATGCAATCGAACAAAGTTCCGATGCAAAAGAACCATTAGCCTACCATCACGCAGCGTTTATCAGATCTAGTTGTATTTCTATTAACTTTAGCCATTTTGGATGATTTAACAGTTTTAGTCTTTTTGCTATGTTTTCGTGGAATTTGTGGTGAATCTCTCTGTTGAATTGTATCACATTCATCTTGTGAAACTACTGAATCACTCATTTCAGATAAACTGTCATCTTGATTTTCATTAACGTCGTCCCACTGACTTTCAGTCGCATTGTCCAACACTTTTCTACGCTTTACCATACATAAGTTGGAGATACGTGGTTCTTTTCCTTCAGAACATGCGCCAAATTTTGAGCTGGAGCCGTTTCTTTTTCGGCTGAAAGTTTATCACATGAAAGAAAGTAATTTTACACCGAGATTAAACCTTATTATGAACATACAGCAAATGATAAAAATAATCATGTGAGTAAACTGTGTTTGCAAAGAATCAAATAGCAGCTTGTGTTTGCTCATCATCTTCCACATGGAGAAATGTGAAAAAGTCACTAGCTGGATTGTGATTTATGCTTGGTGTCATTTTATATATATATTATTCATCACATCGTTTTAGTTTTCATTCTTGATTACCAAAAACGAATGGTGGACATCAATTTTCTGATTTCATTCAAGCATGATATAGCAGAGCGAAGATTGAAAGAATGATAACGCATAAAACTAATTTATATATTTTCATAACATATCCTCGTACTTTATAATTACTGATTAACTAGATTACTTTGTATGTATATTCCATTTATATATATTCCGATTAACTCATTCAACAATTTTATACTTTTTAAAAATAAAGACTAATAACTCCTGGCTGTCAATAGATTTAACTTGGTTATTTGGCGGTACATAGCTGCACTTCGCTATAAGGTTGTGTTATGGGTGATTACTAAAATCTAATTATTTATACATCAGAAATGATTTCAGTTTTTCTTTGAAACAACAATAGATCAGATTATGAAATAGGTGAAAATCTTGGAATAACTTAAACAAATTTACCTATCCTCGATTCGTATCAATAAAAAATTACAGGCATATAACTTTTCAGGTGTGAAGAAATACAATGAAAACTACCGGTGATTACATTAAGATTCGAAAAGTAACACTGAATACTTGATGCAACTGCGATAGATGTACATTATGACAGTAATAATCGCGATAATAATGAACATATTAAAGCACGGTAATTTATAAAAAAACTTAGCTTAAATGGAGATTCTGCACTATGGTTTTTGCATTAAATAAACAGTAAATCGCCTGAGAGAAGGTATAATCCACAAATGAAATTATAGAGAGAGAGGATAGGTGACACCAAGTTTGAAAACGAAAGTGAAGTGGTGCAAAAGGACGTACCCTGAAGTACAATCTAAATCACCAGACAGAAATGACTCCAAATGAACAGAACAATCAAAAGATACTTGGCCAACTTCTTTATTACAAGAAGTAAAAACATTTGAAAAACACGTCGCAGGTTGATATGTAGCAGTGGGGAAGTATAAATTCGATGGGGAAACATTATACTCATTGTTGATTGGAACATGATGATATTGAGGTCCAGAATTCTCAATATCAGTGCTTTCAATTACATCTCGTCGTTGGACGTCTTTAAGACTAACTACCTTTACTAAGTAATTATAGAGATAATGACGCAGCTTCGCAATCTGAATGAGACGCAGAAGGATTGATAAATAATGTATACGATCTGAATTATTGGCATTAATTGATGTAACTGCTTGGAGATGAAACATTTGTGAGTTAGACGAATCGGCAAGCAATAACTTCGGAGCGAAAACGTTGACAGTTTCTATAAACCAGTTCACAATTCCAATAACTAAGTAAGGCTCCTCAATGCTGACTGGCTTATTCTCCATGATCAACTGGGTAGACTTGCAACTCTGAAACATGTTCGGCACCAAAACTGGACAACCCAAAAGAGCATCAATTGCTGAAAAAGTATTAAAATATACCACTAAATTATCACAAATGTTCAACTATACATCTACTAATGTGAAAATGTCAAAGATACTAATAACAACAAAATTAATTCCAAAGCATATGATAAGACGGAGTGGCAATTCTACGGGGCAGAAATAAACCATTAGTTAAACCAAATTAGTATTTATAACTAGTGCAATATGTATCTTACAAATTTTCATCTGGAAAATACAACGTTTCATTACATTTTTTATCAATGTTATAGGTATTACGCAGTTTATGAGCCCACTGAGTGTAAAACAAGGTAACTGTTAATAAAAGTGCAGGAACAAAACAAGTCCAAAGAATTGTAGTTTTGATAAAGAATAGATAGAATGCGACTAGCAGTGAAATTGAGGACACGCGTTTCGACCTATCTGAGACTCGTCAGCTAGATGTACCTGCGTCTCAAAGTTGATGATCACTCCAGGAATCGAACCCAGTACTGTTTACTTCAAACCCCACCGCGTTATTCACTAATCTACTGAGTCTGGATGGCTACTGTTAAGCACACTTTCCACTTATTCGACATCAACTTGTGTCATCGAGGCGATACCCACAGGACGCCTGTATAACAACCAAAACTGATTAAAATTCAGTCAAAAATATCGACGGAGGGATAATCCAATCCAGTTGAATTTGAATACTGCAGTTTTGCTGAAATTTGGATATCAACAATGCAAAAAGCGACAAAAAATGTGCTTTGGTGAGCGAGATGTTCGACATCTGAAAGCGATAAGCTTTAACCCTCTCAAAACTGGTTGCTTGAGCGAGAAGACAAAGAGCAAAAATAAATTATATGAACGATCGAATAATATGAACAAACACTCGTTTACAACTATATGCATTCGCCGCCTTAGAAAAGAAAGCTATTTCCTAACCTCTGATACCCACATTTTAGGATGTTTTTGGCGGTCATTAGGTCACTTTTGATTGGCTCAGTATATCAGAATCATAAAAAAATGCTATCAAAGCACTAAGATAATATTTACCACTAATCGGGTTATGGTTGCTAGTACTCAATTCTTATTCAATCCACAACACCAGAGTTTATACGATTTTGATTTTCTATTTGCACAAAAAAGTAAAGAGAACTGAATAATTGAATAATCAACGGTGACGACGATGACTAGTCGTAGAGCACATCAAACCCCTACGACCAAGGGAAACTACAATTCATTTATTACTGTTTTTTTGTCAATAACGAGATCTACATGCTATTTAACACTGATGTACATTTTAAACGAAAATGGTAGCGAGGTACCATACAGAAGTACTTACCTGAAGTTCTATAAGCCTGAACAATCGGTATAGAGCAGTGTGATATTCTTAGCCGACTTATATAATACTACTTTGACAGACACTTCATTCAAATAAGTGTAAGAATGCGAATCTTCAGTTTTACACCCTAGACCTTACAGAATCTAAGAATTCCTACAAAAGTATTCAGTGTCTAAACTTAGAATAATTAAACAGAAAAACCACTTATTAATTTTCAATAAACAAAATAAATGACTAACTATCTAAACTGCCATCGTGTTGATCTGCTTCTACAATAGCTACCAAATTTAAATATGCAGGCAATAAAAGAGGACTTGAATATGATAAATTCTCCAAATTTGCTTCCTTGAGTAAGCGTTTATTAGCTGAATATCTATCCCATGAGGGTCCCAAAGCAACTGCAACTTCACATAAAATAGGTTTATGTAATGAAAATCGGGGTGAATAATCTTTTAAAGAAGCGTTATCCAAAATGAAATCATCCTGAAGAAATTGGAAGGAACAAACAGCACTACTTTTATTAATACAGTAAATGATGCAGTTATTTTAAATGGATTCATTCAACAAATTCAAATGCCACCACATATTTGTTGCCTATTACAAATTTATACGTTGAACTACTCTTGTATATATATATATATATATATATATATATATATATATATATATATATACTCATTATTATATCGATTGCTTCAAAAACAGAATTGAAGATTGGAGATCATGATGCTTAAATTCATCGTAAAACTGGACAAAGATTCTCATGTTGATTGTACTTGACGCAAAAATTCGGAAAAATAATAGTATGCATGCCAAAAAAATATCTTAGGGAAGAGAATCGTTTGGAGGTTCCTTTCAATCCAAAAAAGTATCGCGAAACGTAGGTTAATAAAATCTTTGTTCAGCCATTTCTTTAGATTAGTTGGTGAAATTGTGAACTGCTAACTAGATGAAGTTTAGGTTACGGTGACTGTGTTAAGATTCCCGCCTTTTATGAAATATAATAAACAAATATGTTTATATGAAACCATACAACAACTAGGGAGTGGATTTTACTGTAGCGTGACTCTGTTTACAAAAATTGTCCTTTTCCACAACTATTAAAGATTTGTCTTTAGGGGGATGTCTATAAAGACATTTATTTCAGCAAATTTTTCAAAAAACGAGGTTACTCAAATCTGAATATAAGAATAGAAACGCTGTTGTACACGGAATCTTATACTTTGTAAGCGAAATAAACAACTCACTATGCCAAAACCTACCAAATTCATTTGCTCAAAGAAAACTGATATTCCGGTAGTAAAACATAGGTCTAATCAGATTAATCTTTGTAAACCTACTTTATTAATATTATGAATTGCCGAAACTCGGTTGGTTATAAAAGTCTCTTTACTTTTGGAATCTCTTCCTTCTATCCTAACGTGATATAATTAATCCATAAATCAACTGCTTGACTGATAGTACGAACACTGCCAGAGACCCTAGAGTATTACAAAGCGAAGTAATAATCTGTTTCGGTATACTGACTTTAAAGTCAAAAGAACCATATATAGCGTTCCAGAATAAACTCAAGGGTACGATCGATAGGAGTATGAAAAGTGGGCAGCATTAGAGATACAACTCTAATTCGGTAGAATCGATCGGATTACTTATGGGCCGACCTCTCTCAGAACAAAGCCTAATTATTTAACTAAATCAATTGCGTTGTGTATACTGTCTAAAGATGCTAAATAATCATCGAATTATAAGCCTATGTCTACTAACTCTCCATCAACAATAAATCTAGACCACATGCAGGTACAGTTGAATAGTTCTCGATAGCTGCTTAATATTCATCACTTTTCTTTCATCATAACCGACCGTTTAAACGTCTTAATTTTCGTATAATCCGTTCAAAATTGTTCTGTAAGTTGACTCTCCAAATTTTCCGAAGTCAACTTGAAAATGATTATACATGTTATAAAAACCGGTTAACTATTTATAGCGCTTTTTCGTCTTTAAAAGGATGTCCTTTACGAAACACGTCTAAATCTTTGCTGTCACGATCATACAATACATATATATATATACCCTGCAAAAAGTCATGGGTTATAGAGCAGTGACACCATTTTATTTTATGAACTGACCCATCTGCCTAACTGCAACCTATTATGTACATATTTATAAATTGGGCAGCTTGATCGAAAAGTCCGTCGATTAATCAGCCGAACATCCTGCTGGTTTATGTTTGGGCATGCGATACTGCATCTGTTCAACTGTTATTGTAATTTTTTTAGGAATTTGTATGACTTTACCAGAGAAAAGCTCCCAGTTTGGCTAAGCAAAGATAGTTAAAACACTCAAAAGTTAAATTCTAGCTCATTAAGTGCCAACATACGTGTAATTAACAATAATATATTAACTGTTGTCTGCTTGAATCTTAAAGTTCATTGAATGTATTTTTTACAAACTTGGTTATCTCCTTGGAACAATGATTCGGATTAATAACTATAGAACCTAATGAGAATATTCTTCGTTCATATGTTTTTAAACATAACTATAAATGGGAGAATTTAGTTCAGTATGGAAGAAATAGAAACCCTCTGAGTAAACATAAACAGATGAATCAGCACACCAATAGGCTCCAGGAAAAAATCAAGTATAAAGTGTGACTACCTTCTCAATTTAAATATAGTCCATCATTACATAAAAGAAAAGAAACAACGGTTAAAACAAATGGAACTGAAACCTTTTGGCTAGCAGTTTATCTGAACACATAACATCGTTTGGTACGACAGTCCATATAACTTTTAAGAACTGCATATATACATAGCTAGGTGATAACTTTTCGTGTTACTTCCGTGAACAACCTTTAGAGGTGGTGCTTAAAATACCGGATTCAAATAAAATCATACTGACAAAAGTTAAGCAACCACAAAATTATTAATAAGTTTGACACACAAAAAAACAATTATTTTCGTGTAGGTAAACCAACTTAAATAAGTCATACACCGAAATACAACTAGAGCAATCACATAAGAACTAGACAGAGTTCAAACATAAAGACTAACTCAAAGAGAAAAACGACACTACCAACCTGAAAATGGCGCATGATTCGAGCACCCATCCAAATGATAAGTTTTCTACCTTCTTCGGAAAAGGGTGATTCATTTATAGATCCATGATCTAAAATAGATTGACTTGTCCTGTTTTTATCACTTAGCTGTATTAGTCGATTAAAACAAAGTGCCAGTTCGTCTAGCCAAAAGACCATTAATTGACAGTATGGACGGACCGAATACTCAACCAATCCTATCAGTTGTAGCAAAATACGAGACGGTGGAGTTATGACGTGAGAAGAATGAGACGAGCAGTTAGCACCTCTGTCATCTTCACTGTCACCAACTGACAAATGAACATCACCGGGATCATCAGCAAGTTCTGTACCATAACCCTTCAAGCTCAATGAACTAGCGTTACTGCTTCGACTAGTATTCGTAGTATAAGCACTACTTCGATCGCTATCCACATGAGCAAGCTGTGAAGCTAACACAGACGACTAAAAAAATTTTACACAATGAAAAACAAAAATATGTGAAGATATCGGTTGGAAAAGGAACTAGATATAATGGATACAGCTAACGAGTAATTTATTAGATCCAAAAATAGAAATCATGAAAGGATAGTAAATTTAAGATAAAGAGGAAGATTACCAAATGTCATCAGCATACTCTAAACCACCCACCATTGTTCGCAATCATTGCATAGGCTCCTTATCAGCCTGTGCCTTAGCTGAGTCCGCTCCTCATCATGTTCAGAGCCAGATGGGATGAGATTTTCAGCATCTATCAGTTCAGAAAATGCTACTCAAAGCCACTGATTTTCCCTAACCTTATGGCTAGCCTTACTGATAGATATCACTGCTTTTTCCACAGCTTTTTACGTAACAAGGACTGACCATTAGAAATAAAGATAACTCATTAAATACGTTCTTATGACCATGAAGGAACTTTACCATTCGGTTAATAGTTGGTTTTACGGAGCAATTATAAAAATACTTTAAAATGTCTTAAAAGGAGAATGACAGAGATATCGAACAAATGAAGCAAAAAAAGAGAAATAGTGACAGGAGCACAATAAAAGCTCAGAAACCTGTAAAAGGTAAGTGCAAACATCAAACAAATTAGTAAAAGCACTCGAGATGTGTACAAAACTCCGCAAGTTACGTAAATAATAAATCAAATGTAGCACAAGAATATACACGTTATAAAGATACATCTAAACTTAAAGTTAATTTATAAGCAAATATTCTCTACAGATTTAGTTTCAATTCTTATATTTAGGGATGTATAATTGTTTAGTGCAGTTGGCTGCCTTATGCTAATCATGTCGGGTTCAGCAGTTTAGTGGGCTATATTAAATTCGAAGTGGGGCTCATTACTTTAGTAGCTCGCGATATGATTCCATATTTACGAATGACTGAGTATGCGATGAAGTAAATCTCCCCTTGTTTCCGTATATCATACTTAGGCGAACCTCGTTTGTGCGACGGCGATAATTAGAAACCAAATACGGATTCCGTTGGATGAGTGTATTTTAAGCCACAGTTCGAGTAGGCAGACATGAAAATACAAAGCGTTAAAGTACAGCGAAGCGAAGTGGAGAAGGAAAGTGAGCCAATTCAATGTAATGAGGTATGACTATGAAGCATGTATAGTCCACGTATAGGCCAGATATGCGATAAGAAGTAACACATACACACTCGAATAGAAATAACCAGGATAAAAGCGAGTAGTTGGCAAGGTCGGAAGTCGTGCAACTCGAGAAATGTTGATTGAATGGGTTTTCATTTATAATAACATACAACTGTTAAATGAAAACACGAAAATCCATTAAGACCACTTGTAATATCTTTAATAACAAGACGAATTATGTACAGGACATCAGTTGTACTCAATAAAGATTGAGTTATAAGAAAATGCATAACTTGAGATTTCAAGAAAAAAATGTAAACAAAGAATAAGAACGAAAGATTATTCTTATCAACGAAACACACCATAAAAACCGCAAAATTAACCTATTTTCAGGAGAGAATAAGACTTGTTATTCACTAGCAAACAATTTATTCAATATTAATTACAATTACTTGAGTACTTATAAACACAAAATTATCTGGTGTTACCACGAAAAAGCAAATACACCAATCAGCTAAACATATATTCACGATTCGTATATACAAAAAGTTAATGAAGCTGGCGTAGTGAAGATAGTTCCAAACGGGATTACAAAACAACTGAATCCTACAGAGATCAAAATGAAGAAATTGAAATCTCAGAAAAATTCAGTGTATCTCTGACTGGTAGTATGTGTTTTTTAGCTATGATATGTCACATATTTTCTCCAATAGAATAGAAATGAATAGAAGCGATTGTATGGAATGGTGCGTATATTTATACGCACCCTCAAAATAAGGGAAAGCCAAACAAGTTAAAATCTAGTAAAACAAACTTACGTCTTCCTCTTCCATCGAAAGACGAATAGCTAAACTGCGTTCTGTGTTTTTCAGTAGACAGTTCCTCCTGCAAATCACTTCAATGATCACAACAGCACCGATAATACCCACACATTTCGAAAATAATGACTGACTTGAGAGCAGTTTACGAATAAACAATAGCAAGCTGTCCTGCTGTTCGCGATGCTCTTTGATTCTGTTAGGAAGCAAAAATAACTTGGAGATGAACAAAAAATCACACATAAAGTACGAAACCAATTTTATGCATTAAGCAGATTTTGATTTACATGAATAATGACCCTTGTTATTATACCTAGGAATGAAATAGAGTCTAAAAATGAGTGATCGTAACTAAATTAGAATCAAAAAGTTAGGATACCTACAAAAATAGTTTGTGAGTTACGATTCAGTTAGTAACAACGTATAATTTCATACATAAGTACATCATTTTAAGTCGCAATGCGACGTTAACACAGAGACGCAATTATAAATTTAAATTCCATAGTAGTAGATATAGTAGAAATATTAGCGGCAATGGAGAAGATAAGGGCTCGAAGATGTTACTTAACAAGTATAATTCGGTGAAATAAATTTCAAAAGAGAAAGATAGAGGCGATGAGGAATTCAGAAGATTAGGATTTGAGAGAACACAAAGAATGAATGCACCTGCACCATCGCAAACGATTTCTACCCATATCACTCAACGTCTCTAATCATCGATAACTATCATCATCTCACGAACCCCAAACTGGTAGTCTACACTGACCAACGTGGTTCAGTCCAGTTGTCGGTGACTTCATCGATTTGTGCCACGTTCTTGTTTCGCCGCCCCTAGCTTTCTTCCAGCTTAGCTGTAAACCACAAAACATCGCTCGTCGAGGCATTCGGGGGTGAACATACGCAGCACATGTCCCAACCACCTCAACTGATGAAGATTCACTACTGAATGTATTGATTGCCTCGTTTCCTAACAACAGCATTGTTTACTCGGTGGTCCTAGGATATACGAGCAGTGATTCGAATACATCTATGATTGAAAACCAGTAATTTACGGATATCCTCAACTCATACTAGGCATGTTTTACAGCCATAAATTAGGACGAAGCGAACTACTGCACAGCACATTCGTCCTATACGCCGTAAATGACGCAAGTTGGCAAAAGCTAGTCGAGCCTTCTGCATCAATGCTTAGATTTCATCAGACAACAGGCCATCAGCACTGACGAAACTCCTGAGATAAGTGGAGCGGTCGACACAAAACAACTTCACGCCCCATCACTAGTTCGGGTGCCGGGGGACTTCATGGATTTCTGCTATGTTTTGGTCTGGTCGCCCCTAGCTTTCTTCCAACCTACTCCTACACCGCAAAACATAGTTCAACGAGGCAGTCAGCGGTTTGGCATTTATAACACATGTCACAAACACCTCAACTGATGATTCATCGCTTCATGTATTGATTACCATTCACTTAATACACGTTTCCTAGGACGGAGTGAATTACCTCACAGTACAGTCTTCTTTTGGTTAGCAGACGGATATCACACCCACGCCATAAGTGACGCAAGTTGGCAAAAGCCAGTCGAACTGTCTCCATACTGAGAATACGTCAGACACCAGGTCATCGGCACTAATGAGACTCCCGAGATAAGTGGAGCGGCCGACACACTCAACTTCTTAACTAGTCAAGGTGACGATGAAAGCCGATCCTCAAGCAACATTTTACATTTGGAGGGGGAAAAGCGCATCTCGAACATGCTTGCATTGTTGCTTAAAATGTTCAGAAAACTATGCATTTTGTCAGCGTCTTCACCAAATACAACTGTCATCAACATACTCTTAGTCAACAATCGTCTCTAGAGCCAACCCTGTAAAGTCAGACGAAGATAATGTTTACTCTAAAAGTATGTCTAGGACGAAGTTAAACAAGAATAGAGAAAGTGGACAGCCCTAACGGACACCACTTGAAGTAATCAATTCCGATGACAGTTCGCCAGTTGAACTTATTTCTAAAGTGTTCTACCCATCGATCCAATCTCCTGGATTGAGAATGAATAAAAAGACCATCCTTTTCCGAGATAGTCTCACTCACAGCCGGATTCCTAATTCCCATCTTGATAAGTCTGAGCAGTTGTTCATTGTGGCTTATCGCCGCTACCTTTTCTATCGCTCTGGCTTTCGCCACCCACCACTGTTCGCGATCATTGCATAGGCTCCTTATCAGCCTGCGCCTTAGCTGAGTCCGCTCCTCATCATGTTCAGAGCCAGATGGGATGAGATTTTCAGCATCTATCAGTTCAGAAAATGCTACTCAAAGCCACTGATTTTCCCTAACCTTATGGCTAGCCTTACTGGTAGATATCACTGCTGTTCCCACAGCGTTTTGGAAATCATTCGAAGTTACTTCGGGATGGGCATCTTTTACACGTCTGCCTAACTGTATTTCTAGTTGCTCCTGAAATATATTCCCAGCTTTGCTATCGTTCAGTAGAACTCTGAGAGGTTTCGTTATTGTGATTTTGGTACGTCCAGTCAGATGCAGACAAACACGAGCTCATACTGGAGTATGATATGAATCTAAACATTTGCTGCAAAATGAGTGGCAGTGTTCTATCGAGCCTAAATTCAAATTTACCAAAGCAACTATATTAGCAGAATGGAGAGATGTTACCGCTTGAGAGAAATAGAAGCTTTCACGACTGAGATCTCGAGATATTCAATCGCCATACATCAAGTAAATATTTGGAATCTATAAAACTGAACAATAGATAACAAAAAACCCAGTGTTTTCGAATTCCCCAAAGCTATAGTTATCAAACTTCTACATATGATTTGTAGCAAAGATAGTGTTGTCAGTCTGCTCTTATCTTAATAACAGCATACCAATTTTCGACAGTTTTCTCGTCTGTAACTTTAATTTAACTGGTTGACCTTAATACATATTATTATTCTGATTGATGTATCAAGACCTTTTGCGTTCATAGTTTTTTGAGCATATCAGTATGTTTATAAGCTCCAATCAACGCAGTGGATGCTACCCGTTTTTCTTACTTTTCAATCTAAGTTTGCTGATAGACGTCATTGTTGTACTTACAACCTCTTGTAAACTTTTCGTAACTTCTTCAGAATGAACTGTTTTCCCCCAATCGAGAAGCTAATAACTTTGCGAATACATTCTTGAGCTTTCCACTCCTAAGTTGGTATCTAGGCGATTTTCCTGTTGTGTTTTAGTTTGTCAAACAAGTTATATTTTGCAATTTTGGTCTTTAAAACATTGTGGGTTGTGAACTGATAAGAATCTAACAAGATTAAAAACATGGTTGCATAACATTCTGCTAGAAAGATTATCCTTATTCTTTTCAAGTTAAAACTAGAGGGCTTGCAAATATTATTTGTCCGTAAATCCCATAAAGTCCCAAGAGATCCATCAATCCATGTTATAAAATTACCAAAAGCATCCAAACCATAATTATTATTTGATTCATTTACGATTTTGATTCACCCACTTGATGAACGTGAACATATAAAGTAAATACTAGGTTTATACAGGTGAAATGACGTACTGAAGATTGATAACAAGAAACAACGATTTCTATCGTGCATCACTCATAGATGTTTTGAAATGAACATGAACGAAATGGAAAATATCAGAAACAAAAAATTGCAATATTTTAGTGACAATAAAAATATTTTAATGCAAACATAGTAAGACATACCCAAATGCGGTGTACGCGAGTATAAAAAATATGTGTTTAATATGTTTTTTCCGATACAAATAGCCTGAGTGGTATCCATTAACAACACTCGAATTAGTTTGTTTGGAATCACAAGATGATCCTGTGAAATCAATTTGATTGCGAAGAGTACGTAAATTTGTTTCGAAAATGCCCAAATCCCCAGCGCTTGACTGAGCCAGTCGTATTAATGTCACAAGCGTGGCGTCTACGATACCTTCCACCTTATAGCGACCGGTACTTCTCACAATTAAGTTATTGATACCCGTCAACGAATGATGAACAAGATGATTAATAATTTCTTGTTTCTGTAAATGGTCACTCATGCAGTTAGTGAATGTCTTCATGTATAAAGATAGAGCAATATACCTGGTTACAAATTTGAAACGAGTGGGAACCACGTCATTAGATGAGACAAGCTGATTTAAAATGAATGTAAATGATGAAAAAAGGCGAGTACGTCCAGAAACTAGTAACTCTCCGTAATTTGTTAAAAATGTATCTATATGATCATGGATATTATCTAGTGAAAACAGCCTTCCAGTAGTTAAGAGACGGCGCACTGAAGAAAGCACATCACTTTTTAAGCGACTATATTGATATGAGTCAGAAGAACAGAGAGCTTTCAGTAAAGACCCGTCTGAAGTCATATCTGAATTATCTCCACTCTTAAGAACAGTCATTGTTGGAGTACTGAGAGCTATACATAGTATAATAAAATCTTGTACAGACTGATTGTGAGATCTGAAATCATTGGTAGTCTGACAGGTTGAGTCCCATGTTTGAGAATCCAAGCCAATCACACGCATCCACCTGGAATAAAAAAGTAAATCAAATTCGAAAAAGTGCTTAACTATCCTAGTGAAAACTTTGGAATACTATTTAACTACTGAAAATTAGCTTACACATTTCAGTTGATGAGTGGCACTCAATATTTTTCATACTACGTGCTAGTTAGTTAGTACCTACCAGAGTGATAACTTCAAGTCTAACTCAAGAAACGAAAATGATTATTGTGCAAATAACAGAGTGAAGTGCACGCCCAGAAGTTTATGAAGATCGTCGTTAGTCTGAGTAACCATGGAAATAAATATAAGTAATGTTAATAGGCGTATGTAAGTTAATCTAATGAAGAAAACTACAGTGTCACAGAATTCCTCTAATCTTCGTAAAAAATAAAACATTTGCAGCCTATATTTGAAAATAATTTGTTAGAATAATGAAATGTCCACAGAGAACCTAAAACGTCATATCTATCTGATACACAACTTTCTAACTTTTTATCAGTTGTTAGCAAATGTATAATGAAGCACACTCTTACTTGTTAATGTGATAAAATCATCATGGTCTACTTAGTTGGAAGACAAATCAATACAAAAACTAGCAATATTTTATTTGAAATAACAAGTCAATCTACTCAGTTCTATCAAATTAACCTGATTGGAAGTATACGGCATAGTTTGAAGCATGCATTAACAGAAACCCCTGACATGTGATAGTGGTGACTTCTCGACTGTCAAGAGTATACCACTGGCACAAAACTGAAAGGGACATAAAACAACACATTCATACTTAAAATATCTCTAGTACTTCAAACAACAGATTACAATATTCATATTTTTGTGGCCAATATACGCTACAAATTATTTGCCGTATGTTTTGTGCCTTAATTTTAAAAAATTTACACACAAAACTTTACACCACCTAGAACTTACTCAGATATAATATTTTTGTTAAATCGAAACACAACTCGTAAAAGGTCGACAAGAGTAGAATTTATTATAGCTGCTGAACTAACGAAACCAGATTTAGCAAAAGTGAAAAAGGTGCGCAAACGCGTTACAAGCTTAGATAATTCAGCCGCTGTCTGTGGCACAGCCGGTCCACTAATCAAAAGACAACGAGTTATTACACGAAGATATTCAAAGTAGAAATCCAGGCCATCGCATCGATCAAGAAGCCGAAAGAAAGCAGAATGTAGTCGATCCATCAAGTCTCCTTTCACATAAAAATTCGTTAAGCACTCGATGAGGCAAATAACTGCATTACAATCTTTGGGTGAAGTGCGTTGATTCTCAAGAGATACGTTATCAAGTAAGTTGATAAGCTGAGAAACAAGCAATGATCTATCTTCATCACTTAGTATACACCCAGAAGAACAAGGAGAGGATGCCAAATCAGGAAGAATTCCAAGGATTTTGGCTTGTACCCGTGGTTCCTCAACAATCTGAAACAGATCAGTAAGACGTGACGATATATCAGAAAAGGTTTGTTTGGTACTAAATAGTGAAGAGAGACCAATGGGCTGTCGAAATTGCTCAAGGAGATGTTCAGAATATAATGAACGATTTGCAACTAGTTCCAAAACGAAGTCCATCAAATGAGAGCACAAACAAGGTGTAAACAAAAGTATTTGAAATGCTGTTGCTGGAAAACCAAACAACACCAAGACGTCATTATTAGGAAGATCAACTTTAGAATTGGGTGTATCCGTAAGTAGAGGACATAGCAAAGTGAAAAAGGTAGACAAGTTACTTGTAGCGTTTTCATCAGGAACTGCTGCTAGAGTGCGTAATTCATCTGTCAATTTGTCACACAACTGATGTTTTGACTTCAGAAAATTGTCTAAATAACGACATCGCTTCTGAGCAGAATAAGCCATAGCCCAAGGTGAATTGGGATTAGATATATGATTGTTACTAGCCAAGAACGGCATTTTAGCCAGGAAAAACTGTCCCGTATTTGGACATCGACTAATCCCGATTTTCTGCAAGATATCTTGTAGTACTGGTGCTGGGACCACAAAAAAAGGAGTAACCTCCACGCTTGTTGATAGCCAACTGCTGCTTTCATGTACATAATCGCCCGATGAATCTTTATCACAAGACCCCAAAGTGTTAGATATTCGTGTTAGCATTTGATAGGAATAAGAAGACTAGTTCCACCAACAAAAATCTGCCAAATAAAAAGTAGAGAAATAGTATGTTCATCAAAAATTAGAATACAACACGAGAGCTTAACTAGAGTCTGTAGTATGCAGTATGATGAAATATCTATAACAGGAACATATGGTAAATATTCCAGGCTTACTGTTCGGTGACAAACTACATAAATCATACTTAATTGCCAGTCAATGTTTTCAAGTAAGTAATTAAGTAAGTAAGTAAGTCAACATTAACAAATAATAACGAAAAGGAATTCGCGAACCCTACTACGGTTAAAATGCGGAAAAACGACATCGTAGCATAATCAAGAAAGCGCAGAAGAGTGCACTAATATATCCATACCTCAATCATCGAAGTTAACGTAATAAAACATCTAGGGATCTTACACGAACCCAACAGGTGATAAAAGTTTTCATTACGAGTCTAAATTCAAGTTTCTTGTAAAATAATTACAACGAAAAAGAATTATCTTTAAACGGAAAGATTCAGCATTTTAAGCCAAGCACATTTGTTTTATACCCGCCTGCATGCCGACTTACGAAGAGCACTGAATTTAGTTTGTTCCCCATTCAGGATCCTGAATAATTTGAGGGTGTTCAACGAAAAGAAAAATGTTCATTACAAATGTTCATCAAAGGATTTTTCGATATTGCAATGAGGACCGACTAAAACACTCAAATCTCTTCACATCATTATACCATAGAACGGGAGGCGGCCTCATAGTGATATTCCGTATCTAAAATAGTGTTCAGGATGTCAGCTTTTGCTCCGTTTAGGACAACTCAGTACTGAGGTCATCAAAAATAATCCAGAAATCTACAGAGATTGTCTCTCATTCCAACTGGTCAACAAATGGAGCTGCTCATTAGAATAAGTGACACCACCAGCAGGCCTTCATAAGCCAAGACATAACCTTATTATAGAAAGCATTACGAGGTATTGCGACTACGTCTAACCTAGTTCAGAACCTGGACAGACAGTCTATTCAATACTGAGTTTCTATGACAAATGTACCTTTAAGTGGTTTAAATGGTTGTGAATGAAATTGAAGAAGCCTTAGCTCGACACGCTTCTGTATCTAGCAGTAGTGGATTACGGATGCCTTCAAGTAAGAACCTAAGCATATTTGACGAGTAAGACAGAAATATTAGTAATAAAACACTGTCCTGAGTTCTCAAGAATATGTTAAGGTTCTTGAAGGGCTCCAGAAGAGTTGCTTGGACCACCTCAGTCGGCATCGAATTTCACGTGTAATGGGTAGTTGTACCTAGAGTTCATTCTGCTAGACACCTACGGTTGTTGATGGGACTGAGCTTCAGTTAGTATTTTTACGGGGTGCCCAGGAGTGTTTGGAATGCTATGAGCCAAAAGGTTATCTCTGGGACACCTGCACTCTGATGGATAAAGATCCAGTGATTTGCGGCGCTTTCCATAAGTTTTGAATTTGAGTTCTCAAGCTGGTTAATCTTTTAATATGTTCAAATTTATTCTTGTTCTTTTAGAGTAAGGCAGGAATCTCTATATTCTCATACTCTAAATGAGGGTGAACAAAGCGTTTAAAGAGTAAATTGAACGCTTTACTATCAGACTGGTCATAAACATTACCAGTGCAGTTTGCCCGAAAAGTATTTATATCATGGAGTAAGATTTTAAACTATAAGGCACCAATACACTTAGATCTCCTTCAACTTGAGACATCTCTAGAAGGGAGTTGCCTAAGTTGTATGCATACTCTGCAGCATGTCTCAAGAGCACCACTTTGCAATTTGAAGTGTTAAGAGTAGATGAGTTGTTATTTGCACAAATCTGAAGTAGTCAGACCCTCCTGAAGAGTCAATTTATCATCACAGCTGCAAACTTTTCTCCCAGGTTGAATATCGTCAGTGAAAAGTAAAGACTCGAACAACAAGTGTTGAGAAATGTCAATTATATTAATTAAAATGAAATGAGGTCCTAATAATGAAACCTGCTGCAGATTGTTTTTGATGCTGAAATAGCCAGCCGTTCGGAATCCCAACTTCTGTTGTTGGTAAGATGTCATAGCTTAGCTGATAAAATTGAAGCGTATAACTTCGTGACCGCTTTTTCCCATGGGAGCCAGGATTGTGAGTTTAACAAATGGGAATTCTTTATTCGTGACGATGCAGTTCAAGCTTGATGGCGTTTGACCATTTCTCCACTGAGTTGCTAACTTTACGATCTCAACTAATCCCAATTCTTCACTTATGCTGAAGAACCGAGCCTCAGTAAAGTTGTAGACAGACAGACAGACAGATACAACGTAGGAAAGTTGTATGTTATTAGTAAAGTTGACTTTAGGAAGACTGAAGCCACTTAAAAAAAACATGTGCATTTGACACTAATAGGGAGAGACAGTTATTTCAGCATAGGAGTGTCGTACTTAATGTCCGCATTAAGTCTCTCGTAGATGATTCCAACTAGACATTTTGTAATGTTAGACTATATCTATGAACACAATACACAATCATCAATATTGATGAACGCTTGTGTGTACTGCATGTGCTACCAAGTAGGATTGTAAGCACAGGATAATCAGGCTTACTAAACTGTCGTAACAGAACAAAGGTACTCCGGGTATTACCGGTTCTACAAGATTTGAGATGCCCATGTTGCATACATTGACAACAGATGAATGTTGCTATTACTGCTTAGTTCACGCAACTCACCCATTTTTTCAATAAGGTTGTAGCATTCGTATGTAAGTTGTCGTCGATTTGAAATGCATAAGCGTCGTCACCCCGCTTATCTGAATGAGCCTCATGTGGATGGATACACAAGCCACCTACAAAGGATTTGGTGAGTGACCCTTGTCCCATCAGTTTTTCTACTGGTCCTGACAGGCCACGAGTGCTCAAATCTTGCATCATCTAGCCTATCCGAGTGCATGTGGAAACCAGTATTTGATGGTTCGAGAGTGGAGATCAGTGCGATCTTGAAAATTCATGATTATTAGGTAATTGTCATGAGACGACCAGATTACCAGGTTTGTGGATATGTTGAGGTTAGGGTTTTTTTTGTTTTATAGTTAGATTCAGATTCGGATTTCAATGCTTTTTTGCGCTTGCTTGGACAAGGAGTCGGTTGATACAAATACTTAAAACATACTACGGCTAAACTTAACGGGAAGAACAGTAATGACGGAACATTGGGCCACAATTTACTACCAATACGAATGTAACTAAAAAGAAAAATAATTTACCGAACGTCAAGCTCACGAAAGAACCTTTAGATCAAAGATGGGACTTTCGTTGTTTACGGAAATAGCAAACGATTGAATAATGTACATCACACCAAGACAATATTTCTCATTCTCAACAATAGAAAAATACCAGCAAACCATGAGGTTATACGTCATAGGTAACCAGTTCGCAAAATGAAGTATCACAAGGTACTACAGAATTAAAACCTGAACTTGGATAGCATGAATACTATGAAACTACCGAACCCAAACAACCAGGATGTCTTTTGCAAAGAAACAAGGCTGTGAAAATCAGTATTTTTAGGAACTAGTGTGTACACAGGACTAAACAAAACTGAAAAGAAAAGAATTAAGTGACCAAACAAATTATCGACACAACTCATAAATTCCGCACCCTTAAGCTATCAGGGTCACCGAGCTAGCAAAACAAATTCTATTAGAGTTTCGGTCTGGAAATGATGGGAGGCTAGAATATCTGTTTCGATAGAACAGTTAGAAGACCTAATTGATCTGAAAGATGTGATCTCTCGTCATGAGACAGCTATGCGGTTCTTTAGACCTTTTTCAGTATCCCGCTGTATTTTTTGGCAGTGGCTGGTTATTCATATTATATATTTTGGTTTATAAGGAACAAATACTGCATCAGGAGTAAAAACCTCTCAACATCGATATGGTCAAAGGCTCGTTTTACTAACCACAGGGTCCTGAAAACTCTCCGCGTAAAAGTTGCAAAAGAAAATAGTTCTAATATTTGAAATTGATCGTCACTCCCGTTGATGGCGCTCGGTCATGCATCCGCATTAGATCACCTTTGGGTGCTCCGTGCTCCTGCAGCCAAGCAAACACAGGCCTAATTAGATTACACGGCTATCGGCGAACCGATAATCCACCAAATTTACATTCGATCATTACTTGTAACTTCTAATTGGACTATATCAAATATCCAATAACTTTTTCATGAGCTAGTACAAACCAGTTGATTTATTTTGCTCGATTCATGTTATTTCGGTACTTTTCTAGGTGTTCGGTAATTTCCAGTGGATGGACGTCTAGCCGCTCGACTGTCTAGTCTGTGGGCAGCTGGTTGTGAGCTTGCATGTCTCGGGATTTGAATGAAACGTTTGTTTCAGGGCAGTAGGGTTTCTGGATATCAGCAACTATCACATTACCAGACCGGAGATCAGTTAGTTGCAATGTGGAGAGTAATAATGGTAATAAGTTTAAATTAAAATGATAATACGAATAAAATTTCAGAACTGAGTAAAATATAGATTATTTAGTTTATTAATTGGTAGTAGAGATAATGAGAGAGGAGCGAAGTGTAAGCAAGGGAGAGGAAACAGAGATAATAGGCTAGATAGATTAGATAAGTGATCTAGGGAGATGGAAATGACAACAACTAGCAGGTTTCAACATATGCATCATGAACAGCTTGTCCAAGAGGGAGATGATAGTTCGTATGCGAGTACGTGATTATCAAGTCTCTTCTTAAAGCAGTCCACTGAGGAGTCTGTGGTCATCTCGGCTGGGAAAACATTCCAAGTTGTGACGACTCGCAATGAGAAGAGTGCACGAATCTGAGTATTTGCTCTTTGTTGTGCGATCTTTCGAGGATTGCCTCGAGGGGAGTTGTGGTGATGCATCGGTAAGATGCTCACGTAGTATTGGTTGTAGTGCGACTGGTCTGTAACAGGCTGGGTCCATTCCATCTCCTGCTTTGAAGATTGGAGAGAAAGTAGCTTGTTTCCATTCAACCGGGAGTTGGTATGACTCCAGTGAATGCCTGAACAGGTCATATATCGTTGAACAGAGGACTTCTGCACATTGTTGCAAGACTATGGGGCGAATTTTGTCACAACCTGGCGACTTACCTTTGTGTAAGGATTTTAATTTCCTTAGTACTAAGTCAGGAGTGATACGGATGTTCCCTAAGCCGTCAGCTAGGAATGGGTTGGCGTAGTACTCTGATAATGTGGGTGCCTGGTTTAACTGATCACAAAAGTTAGTGTTGAAGATCTCGGCCATCTCTAGGTTGTTGAGGTTTTCCCCGTTTGGTCCTTTAAGAGAACACAACCCTGATTCGTAGGTTATCTTTCGGACATAAACCTAAACAGATACTTCGGGTTTGGCAGCTAGCTTCATCTGAAATCGTCGCCTATCACTTCGATCTTTGGTATTGCATCTGTTTCCCAGTGCTAAGTATGAACTACGATCGGAATCCTTAAAGGAGACCTTCCACTTGTACCGGGCTCTACTCTTCACCTGTAGCAAGCGTTCAGTGTCGCGCTTAACCCAGGTTCTTCTATTCCCGCGTGTGTGGTGTGACTGAGGTACACTTCTGAGGACAACATTTTGGATGATTTCTCTCACTATTTGCCAGTGATCATCTACTGTCAGCATCCACCAGTCCCGTGGCCATAGGACATGTAGGAGGACCTCTCTCATACGTGTATAGTTTGCCCTAGAGTAGCAAAGATAGGGCTCGTTATCGTCCTGTGTGAGTGTTTCGTTTATGACCACGTTAAAATAGACTGTGCCTTGGTAAATACTACCTATTGGTGCACGGACGTGGAGCTAGTTATTTGTTAACAGATAATCCAGGTTTGAGGACTTTCCCTCTTTAGTCCATCTAATGGCACTGCATACGTGCTCAGTTGGCCCAGAGCTTCTAATGACCCTTTCAAATTGTCTTTGGAACCAACCAGTTGAAGTTGTACTCTGACTGCTGAGGTTTAGAGATGGGGTATTGAAATCTCCAGCTAAGAGTATTCGATCACACCCAAGGTGTGGTAGTTGCAGTGTTGCCTCTGTCAGTTTGACTTTCTGGGCCTTAGTACATGAGGGATTACGGCAAGTCCCCCCAACCAAGTATTTCGTGCCATCTGTGTCACAAAAACACCAATATGATTCTGTCACCTGAGTTAGTAGGGTGTCGTATAGCCGCTGGGCTTTTAAGTGGCTGTTTATATATGTAGCCACGCCGCCTCCAGTTTGGTGTACCCTATCACTTCAGAAGAGTGTCATGCCTGGCAAGTTCACCTCTTCATCTGCAATGTCAGGGTATATCCATCTTTCAGTTAGGATTATGATCTTCAGATCCATCTGAGAGCACATATTCCTGATTTCTAACAGCTGACCCCTTAGTCCTTTTACGTTGCTATAGAGGCACTTGGTAGTCAAACCGAATTGGTCAGTTCTGTGGGAACTGGCCTCAGCTGGTCTTTTCCCTGTGCAGAGAGTTCAACTGGGGGGGCTATTATCTTCATGTCTTGTGCCAGGGGTTGTTGACCGAAGTCAACTGTCAGTTTTGTACGTTCATTGTGGCCTCCCTGCTTTTGGCTCACAGATCTAGGTCGGCTTTTGCAATACCTGATGTGTCCAGGCAGGTCGTTCTTAGAACTGTATCAATCTTGGAGTGCCAGTATTTATCACACTGTTTTTTGTCAAGGCGGCCATACGTTTTAGTAAGCTACCTTCTGACACTGGGACATCAAATAAAATGAGTGAATTTATTCTATCGTCCCCATGAGTGGTAGCCGCTTGTGAGTTGTGGTGTTGTCATTCCCTTTCTTCACATTCAACCGCTGTTAAGTATTCTCAACAGATACGGGGAATTAGCAACAACCGGCAAACAGACATCGTGGTGCGAATGGGTAGGCTACGCGATAGCTATTGCCGCTGTTGCACATCGTGCTCGTGAGCTTCGTCCGGCTTACCGTCAGCGAGTCCGGGTACACCGTGAACGACCACGGTGGCCTGCTCTTGGGTGCCTGACGTAGTCCTGGCTGCCCCTCGTCCCGACCATGGCTTGTCATGCCTGATGTGAATCGGTGAGGACAATTTGACCGTTGGAAGGTTAACAACAACCGGCAGTTTTGTCGGTATGTTAGGCAGGGTTGTGTAAGCCTTGGTCACTTGTTTTATTGGTTTAGTGCCAGGCGATTTTTGTTTGATCGTTTGGACTTTAGAGCTAATTTTTGGTGGGACCTGTGGCTTTGCTGATGCTTCAGACATTCTACACCAAGGGCAAGCATTCCAAAACCATAGGCAGGAATGACTTAGCATGAATCCGTAGTACTCTTTAGGTACTGTATTGTCACAGTGATAATGTACCCATTTACTACAGAAGTTGCATTCAAAAGCACAGTCACTGATTTTGACTGGTAATGAGCAGGCAAAACAGTCATCCTTATGCGGTTTCTGGACGTTGGACTGTGTCGACTGAGCCTTGGAACGTCTTTTTCACCTATTCTTAACTAGCTTACTGGTCGTTTTAGGAATAGGAGTGGTGTCTTACTTCCTCTGTGGTATTTGCTTTGAGTGATCTAAAGTATGGACACTGAGAGGGATACTATTGACTGACGGCTTGAGTTTTTTAACAACCTGTTCGCACGAGATTGGGATTCTCGACTGACTATCAAACCCGGGGTCTATGCTTCTACAAGTTTTCCTGGTTGTTATAGTGTAAGATGTACTAGTGATCTTATTACTTAACATGATACCAGGAAGATTAGTAGGTAAAAACCTAGATAATTAAGATACGAGATACACAAGAAAGGGATTTAGGATAGAAGAATTTAGTATTATATAATATAACTACAAGGAATAGAGTCCGAAAGTACTCCAAAATTGCAACTATACCTCTGACCGTATTATTAATTAACTTCGTGTGTATCCAGTAACTTGTCCACAAGTTCTGTGTTTGTGAGTCATTGAATGTGTGTATGCTGCCGAGGCAACTAGAAAAAGAGCAGTTGAATGAGGCAGCTAGATCTACCGCACAATGATTCTGACCTAGGATGGTTCCGTTTGCACAAAAATGTTTTCAAGTTGTCGAAAAATGAATGGAGACCACTTTTTATAGCTTCGGGGGGTCGTAAAGTATCCCGAAAATGGATTTTACCCGTAAATGGAAAAAAATCAGCGAGGCCACGTCAAATTCGAAGCGCACGCCTTTCTGTTTGGGATACTTTATTAGCAAGGTGCAATGGACAAAGCGTTGTCAAACCCTGAATATCCACAGCTTTTTCACAGGTTTCATACGACATTGTGTAATCATTTTCAAGTAGTAATAATAATAATAATAATAATTAATTCTCAAATAACAAACATGTTACAAGAGACATGCCAATTAACAGGCAAGATCAAAATGTTAAGATTAGCAACATATTTCTTTTAAAAGGGTATACAGTTACTGAAACATTTCATAAGATTCATTGTATTCTTAAAGATGGAATGTAAAATGCGAATAATTGGCGCAAGTTACGAAGGTTGCGTTATGACAATCATCTTATGGACTGAGAAACGATTCATGGTAGAGATACGTTTTCATATAACAAGAATTGATGCGGTTAATGTACAAAGGTCTGGTTGATATTCATCAGCTAATGATTTCACATGTTCTTGGGTAGGGTAACCAAGTCTACTGCAAATATCCAGACTAATATATGTGGATTGGAATAAGGTTCTGAAAAAGAGGAATAAAGAAAACGAGACGAGGAGCGGAACAGAAAATATTCTTGTTCAAAGCCGAACAACGGCTTTGCACATACGTTTATGGATAAAACAAAGGTATGTTTACTCAGACTTTTTTAACAAAAACTGAACACCTGCACTTATGTAGGTTAATGAAGACAATTCAGTAGTGAGATAACTAATGGGAAGTTAGTCGAATGAATAGAGGAAATTCAGAAGAACCAAGTTGTTAGTAATAATGTTGATTTACAAAATATAATAAAGAGGCTCAGTGGTATAAGGTTTTTACTTGATTTATTCTTTATATTTTTAACTTTGCGGCTCAAGAAGTTATGAATGAGCTCTTTTTCAGTAAAGTTGTCCAGACCAGTTTGTAATAGGATTTCTCGGTAGGAAGTAAAAACCAGTGCAAGGTTACAGACATGAGTTGTAGACGAGGTTTAAAAGGAAAATTAACATCAGTATCACTGATTTGTTACATTCTGCTATATTGTAAGGAGCCGTAAGCAAACAAAATGTTCTGCCACACAGACATGGGTAGATTGAGGTTATCGCCCCACCGTCATAAATGTTGATCAGATACACCACCCTCCCTCCTTTTGTGATGTTAGGCTCTCTTACGTTTAATGGTTAATTGTAAATAATGGTCTATAGTCTACTCTCAATTTTTTTTGTACACCTTATTGGAATTAACATTCTCTACTAGTTCCAACATTACAAGCAATCCAGACAACTTTACCAGACAATATATCCGCATAGCATATCACACTGATTTTAAGTAAACGAATGGTATAATTTGTAAGATGATTCAATTAATAGGTAGTATGGTAATAAGAAGGACAGGGAGCTGGAACGAGGAGAAAGTGAAAAAAAGAGTTGAAATAATGTTAAAAATTAATGAGTAAAGCGATAAGTTGGTAAGCAGGCAAGGTGTTTGCATGTTAATGAATTGGGGGAAAAAAAGTTAGTTAAACTGTTAGTACTTAAATAAGAAGATACTCACAATGATACACGGTGTTTGAGTTCCTTGTAATTGATAGTAGTTGATCAGCATCTACAGGCTTTTCAATTTGTCTGTCTACTAGAAATAAAAACTAAAACTGCTTTGAAGATATGAAAATAATTGTCGGAATTTAAATTCAGAGAATAGTCACGGGTAACACTTCAAAGGCGTAACCTATTACTGTTAGTAGGAGCAGGGGGATTCGTCTATCATTTCATGATACATGTATGGGTGGTAATGGGAACTTAATGTGTTCATAGTCTATACTTCGTTTCTGAGGTTCATCTAAATATTTGGTGGACCATAAAAGAGTGCCTGGGGACGTTGTGTGAGTTCCGGGAATAGTCGATAAATCTCTTTAGAGTCTAGCAACAGCATGACTAGTTTCTTGAACTTAGTGATTGTGTCACAGATACGGATAGTAATTGGTAACCTGTTCCACAGTAGACTGTATCGTATTACAAAGAAATTACAACGGAATGATTTCTTGTGTTTTGCCGTTAATAGTGTATACGCGTTGTTTCTAAGTCTGTAAGCAGTGTCGTGGTTCTTATTTGGGCGGTATTTTACGAAAGACAAATTCACTTTGTGTCTAGACAACAAGTAGCTCAAGATTTTTAAGTATGCACGTTTCCGTACCCGGTTGAGCAGCCTGCATCAGTAAGCATCTAGAACTTTTTACCGATGGCCAGATTCTAGACTATTTAGATGACTTTTGCAATTCGTACGATATACTTCTTCGCAGGATAACAAATGTTAACCCCGTTACTCTAAGAATCAAATACGAAGTAGATTCTAGAGGAAGAAGAATATTTGATACTGGCCTCGTGATATTGCAATAATATCAAGGCAAGAGGGCGTATAAACGGCCAACGTCCACGCAGGAGACGTGCGAAGAGGATAATGGGAATAACAAGCTTGGCGTGCGAGACATAGTCTTCAATACAGACAAACAAGAGGTGTACAACATAACAATTATTGTCAGAACTAAGTACAATAATCAATGTTTATATTTCAGCGATTGTGTTCTCTTCGTAAAAGTATACCACTACATTAGCCCCCCCTAGAAAGGGTTTACACTTTCGATACGTAGCGGTTTCGTGCGGGGGGGATGGGTCGGCTTGCGGGTGATTGCACAGCGGGAGGGTTGACGGACAGGAAGCAACCAATGAAGCTCAATTCGTCAACGAAATTCTTTTACGTTGAAATGTCCCAATAGTGAAGTACCAAGTTTATTGCTCGAGTTGGCATGCCACACCAGCGTGGCTCGTATCCAGAGTCTGAAGATTGCGTTCGTAGGGGGTTGGCACCAGAAAAAGCTGTAGATGTAGGACGGAACCATATTGAGAGAAGGAGCCAGAACGACCAAGTTCGAGACCATAAGGATACAAGAACATTGGAAACCAAAACATCGACTGAGTGAAATAACAAGAGCATGGGCGATCAGGCCAACTTTCACCAAAATTGACTGAATTCGAAGGTACCAACAGGGTGATGGTCGTTGACATGGGATCAGGATACAAAATGAAAGAAAAAGAGGAAGTTGTATCATACACATAGTACGAGGGTAGGACACTTCCAATTACCCGTTCTTGCCTGGGTGGTTATTCGAGAAAACTTACAGGTAGGCGTATGCGGCGACCGTAACGCGAGAGAGTAGTCTCGTGAGTACATCGTGAGCCTGCGATCTCATCTGAAGTCAAAGGCGATGTGGTCTGCTGATCTGGACGTGAGACCGTAGTCTCATCCGTAGATACTGCAGATAGCGCGTGCTGCTGGGACGTGAGAATGAGGTCTCTGATTTGTCTAGTGTGGGACCCAAAGTAGCTTTAGGGATCCCGCAAGTCGGTTTGATAGATCTAGCATTGAGTCGCAGATTAGCAAGTAGGGCACTGTAATCGACGTGTGCTGTCTTGAGGCGATCATTGATGACTACCTCGACGCGGCCATGTCGATCAACCTTGAAGGTCTTTTCATGAAGGGAAATCACGTGAAAATGTCCCTCGAAAGGCTGTTACAAAGGTTTGCTTACTGAATCGACTCGTAAGAAAACATGCAAACAGGTAGATAACTCTCGAGGGAGAGCGACCTTTCAATGTTGTACTGGAGTTAACACTGGAGGCAGTGCTCGCATAAATTCAGACGTAGTCTCATTTACTGAAGTTATCACTGGCGTGAAAATTTCCCCAGGCAGACGAAATGTGTCGTGCCGTATACCAATTCAGCAGACAATGAATATCTGCCTTTAAACTTGCTCTCATACCGAGGAGGACGAGCGGTAAGGTTTCGTACCAATGGTTGTTTTCGTATGGTCGAAGAGCACTCTTAAGTTGGCGGTGAAACCTTTCGACCAAGGCATTCGAAGATGGGTGGTAGGCGGTAGTTTGTATGCGCTCCGTACCAAGCAGCCGGGTTATCGAGGAGAATAATTCGGACTCGAACTCTATCCTCGGTCAGTTTTGACAGTCGAGGGACAACTGTAATGCGCTATCCATCGCTCTACGAAGCGGTGAGCCAATGTTTACGCCGTAATAGAAGTGATGGGAATAGCTTCGGGTCACCTTGTGAAACGATCGATGCACGTGAGTATGTGATCATGCCCATGCAATGGTGGAAATGGTCCTACAATGTCGATATGAACGTGATCGAAGAGAGCATCAGGCGTAGCAAATGTGTCGAAAGGGGCGGCTTCGTGCCAGTGCACTTTTGATCTTTGACATTGTGGGCGTTGCTTTACCCACATACGAACATCTTTATTCATTGAAGGCCAGACGTATCGTGCAGCGATGAGATGCATGGTGGCTGCGATACCTGGATAAAATAAACCATGAAGGGCATCGAAGACGAGACGACAATAAGCAGAAGGTACAATGGGTCGGGGTAAACCAGTAGAATTTTCATACAGGATAGTACCTGAGATGGTAGCTAGTGGTAATTCCTGGCACTGAAGGGATGTCGATTGTCGTGCTTCTGTACAATAGAGATCATTTGCTTGGGCAGCGGTCATAGCAGGAAGATTGAGCACTGTTAAAGTAACTGCATTTACTTGAATACGTGAGAGACCGTCAGCAACATAGTTCGACTCGCCTTTAATATGACGAATGTCTGTCGTAAAACGAGATGTATAGTCCGAATGTCTAGACTCTCGTGGTGAGTAACGGTCAGACTTGGTATGTAAAGCATACGTTAGACGCTTGTGATCGGTGAGAAGGACAAAATTACGACCTTCTACTGATTTCCAGAAACGCTTGATGGCACAATAGGCTGTTGCGGTTCGCGACCAAAAGAGCCGTATCTCGTCTCAGCGAGAGTAAGGCGTCGTGAGAAAAATCCGAGAGGTTGTCGACTCGTAGGGATGTTTTGTTGCATAACGGCTCCTATTGCGAAATAGGATGCATTAACCGCTATGATCGTGGCTGATAGGTCAGGATATGTGAGGAGCGTGGCTTGAGATAAAGCTTTTTTAATCTCAAAAAATGCAGTACGCTCGGCATCGTTCAGTTCTATTGTGAGTGGATTACCGCGAAGTAAGTTGGTTAGTGGTCGTAACAGTTCCAAGGCGTGAGGAATAATACGTCAGTAGAAGTTGACCAAACCGAGAAAAGCCTTCAGTTCCGTGACTGAAGGCGGTACAGTGTACTCCCTGATTGTACGTACTTTATCTTCACAAGGTAGAATATCCGCCTTGCCCAGTTGACACTTGTCTCGGTTAACTACAACTCTATTATCCTAAAGGTGTTGGAATACGAGTGCAAGATGTTGATAATTTTCACCTACATTTGATGGTGTGATTAGCAAATCATCAATAAAGACCTGAACAAAGTCTAATTCTCATATAAGGCTATCGAAAAACCTTTGGAAAGCATTCCGTAATCCAAATGGCGTCTGTAGGGACTCAAAAGACCGAGAGGAGTGGTGGTAACCGTTTTACCAATATTTTCAAGAGCGACTGGGATCGGATGATATGCTAGAACCGGATCAATCTTAGAGTAGATAGTCGTGCCCTTAAGTGATGCCCTGATGTCGTGCATGTGGGGGACGGGATAGCTATTGTAACGTGTTACTATCTTTGATGCTCGGTAGTCGCCACATGGTCGCCAACTTATCTAATCCCTTTTGCGAACCATGTGGAGTGGTGAGGCCCGAGGACTGTGAATAGGACGAATAATATCTGTAGCTAGTGAATTGTCAAACTCATGTTTAGGGAGATAACTTATCTAATGTATCTAGCCTATTATCTCTGTTTTCTCTCCCTTGCTTACACTTCGCTCCTCTCTCACTGTCTCTACTACCAATTAATAAACTAAATCATCTATATTTTACTCACTTCTGAAATTTTACTCATATTAGCATTAGAGTTTTATCCTTATTATGCTCCACACTGCAACTAACTGATCTCCGGTCTGGTAATGTGATAGTTGCTGATATCCAGGAACTCTACTGCCCTGAAACAAACGTTTCATTCAAATCCCGAGACATGCAAGCTCACAACCAGCTGCCAACAGACTTGTAGCGTGTCGAATCGATACGTCTGCGTGTTCTTAAGCTCGGTTTATAAATCAGAACATGAACTCGTATTGATGAATACGTTTTTTCGGGACACACCACAAAGCGAAGAGGATTTGGGAAGGCTAAGAGCCAACTCTTTGGATTACAATGCGAGCGAGTGAGCGAAGCGAATTGGAGAAGGCTAAGAGCAAACTCAGAGAGATAGAACATGACTAAGAATATATAGTCAGATAAAAATAAAACAGACATATGACAAGCGAAATAGGTATGCGCACACATGAACAAAAGCGAAGAATGATTGACAAGGTCAAAAGCAAGCGATACCAATCATGTGGGTCCATGGGAATATTAAGAGATTAACAATGAAGCGAAAAGGATTAGTTAGTGCGTAAGCGTAAGCAATGCTCAGTCGTATAAGCTCATACGAACTAGATAATAAAAAATACCAATGGTACATATGAGTTGTTACTACACAAATGGCTTGGTTAAATAAATTAATCGAAAGGGTTTAACCAAGTTAGATGTAAGCGAACTGGAATATATGTGGAAGCACTACAGACTAGACAGTCGAGCGGCTAGACCTCCATCCATTGGAAATTACCGAACACCTAGAATAGTTCAAAACAGTGGTTCCCTTTGATAAATTTGAATACATAAATAAGAAGACATATTTTGTGAGATAGTACCATTTCGTGCTTTCTCGTCAGTCACATACAAGCAACATGTTATTAGTGTAAATTCAGTTTTGAAGATAAGGTCAAAATTTCTTATTTAGCTTGACAATCACTCACTAGAACCATGGTAAAAAAAGGTCAACATACAGTTGTTTTTGAACACACAAATTGACCCAAAATCAGCCTTTAGAGTTGTGACATGTAATCAAAACCCACACACACTCAAACTACTCGAAGCTATCTTGATTGGTCGGAAAAGTCCAACTTTATGTGTTCAAAAACAACTGTATGTTGACCTTTGTTTACCATGGTTCTAGTGAGTGAATGTCAAGCTAAATAAGAAATTTTGACCTTATCTTCAAAACTGAATTTACACTAATAACATGTTGCTTGTATGTGACTGACGAGAAAGCACGAAATGGTACTATCTCACAAAATATGTCTTCTTATTTCTCTATTCAAACCTAGAACAGTACCGAAAGAACAAGAATCGAGCGCAAGGAAATCAACTGGTTTGTACTAGCTCGCGAATAAGATATTGGATACTGTACTGAGGATATCGCATTAGAACTCTCCTAGTTTGTTGTTATGAAACTGTACTTAGAGTCAAAGACATTCACAGATCAGTGATATTTGATCGTAAATATTTTCGAAAAGCTGAGGACACTCAGTGAGAAATACGGAGGTTTAGCATTACCATCTGACAAATTGTTTCCGGTCTGTTGGATTATCATGATTTATAAACCTATTTAGCTGGGATCATGTATAACGACATTCTGCTTTGTTGCGCGATGTTGCATGGCACAGGTAGATTAGCAGATTGCCTGTTCGGAGTCTACCCAACTATCCTTATCAAAGACTAGAGGTCGGTGAAATGACCTAAATTTTGTCGGTGCCGCAAATGCATTTACTGTAGCGCGTACTGCATCTAGCTTAAATGGGTTGATCTAGCTTTTGTACAGAGCAATTAGTCTATTCCACTGGAGACATTATCCACACAACTCAATGGAAGTCAGCTCCCTGATGTCTCATCAGAGAGCGATCTCGGTTTAAAAACCACAAAAATCCTCCACACCAGTCCAAACTATGTAGAGGACGCAGCCAAGGCAAATGCGACTCTTCACTTTATGCAAAGACTGTAGAATTTATTTCGCTGGCGGCTGTCCTAATCGCGTCCAATAGAAACACACCGGTACGATACTCCTAGATCCAGGTCCCAGCCAAATCAGAAGGCCGAAAATTCTAGGAGAAAACCGTCTCTATATTGTTATAAAATGGAAATACAGAGGCTTACGATGTTTTTGTTTCTTCCAGGACTAAATTACTCCGTAGAGTATCTATTACAATAGCTAGTAAGTGACACTAAGTCCAGCAGCCACCGCGTCTATCCAAAAATGTGGCGGTAGCCATATTATATCAAATTTAAACAATATATGTACAATTCAGAAGCAAACACAAAAACTTCAATATAAGTACAAAATATGGAAAGAATAACAACATACAATGGTAAAATCTCAAATTGGAATCAAATAAAATACCAAAAATGTCAAGAGAAAAAGTCCATCAGGTCATAGCAAAAATATGTAAACATGGAGGGATTTTCCCAAAAACAAAACATTCAAAAAGAATTCTACAAAGACCACTTGGTGCTGTCAACCCGCAATTATTTTTAACCCTATTTAAGACGTATGCACGCCCACACCTGGAGGTTCACAATGTCATCACGTCCTCTCTGCTCAAAAGATTGGATTGAGTGCAGAGACGAACAACGAAATGGGTGATAAGGTTAAAAAATAAACCTTACGAAGATAGACTCCAGCTCTTGGGATTATCTCCACCGAGTTGCAGGAGAATCAGAGGTGATCTGATGATGGCGTACAACATATTAAACACGCAAAACCATCCCAACGTGAGCATCTTACCGATGCATCACCACAACTCCCCTCGAGGCAATCCTCGAAAGATCGCACAACAAAGAGCAAATACTCAGATTCGTGCACTCTTCTCATTGCGAGTCGTCACAACTTGGAATGTTTTCCCAGCCGAGATGACCACAGACTCCTCAGTGGACTGCTTTAAGAAGAGACTTGATAATCACGTACTCGCATACGAACTATCATCTCCCTCTTGGAAAAGCTGTTCATGATGCATATGTTGAAACCTGCTAGTTGTTGTCATTGCCATCTCCCCAGATCACTTATCTAATCTATCTAGCCTATTATCTCTGTTTTCTCTCCCTTGCTTACACTTCGCTCCTCTCTCATTATCTCTACTACCAATTAATAAACTAAATTCATCTATATATTACTCAGTTCTGAAATTTTATTCGTATTATCATTTTAATTTAAACTTATTACCATTATTACTCTCCACATTGCAACTAACTGATCTCCGGTCTGGTAATGTGATAGTTGCTGATATCCAGAAACCCTACTGCCCTGAAACAAACGTTTTCATTCAATTGATTGGCTGGAACCTTATTCATTGGAAATTACCGAACACCTAGAAAAGTACCGAAAGAACAACAATCGAGCGCGAAGAAATCAAATTGGTTTACACTAGCTCGTGAAAAAGATATTGGATATTGGATATTATGACCTTAACCAATTATTTAAATGTGTGTGTCCCCTACTTTATTACTCACATATCTATGGCTTATTTTGGTTTGGCTATGGGTAGTTGATCACGCCTCATCAGACTGAATCAGTACACGTCTACGCTTCTCACCATAATGTCTGTCTGCATAAATTCATCCCACCTAACCCTTATTTCTCAATACCGCCGTCGCACAGTGTGAGCCTAGGCATAATATATGGGATTAGACGGAAGACTTATTTTCATGTAATACTTATTTGTTCGTCCAAATTGGCGTCATATGACAGGCTACTTAAGTACTCCTCACCTATCTGAGATCTTGAATCTTGAAATTTGCTGGAAGTTAGTTTACCTTCTCTCTACTTGGTTTCTTTTTATCATCACTTAAAGGCGTTTATGTTTATTTTTTAGAGTAAACCGCATTACTACCAGCGTTTTCACTCATTTGATAAACTATATTTTGTCTGCGACACAATCCGTTCTTCGTTTTCCATGTACCTATAAATAACCTTCAGATGTGTTTGACAATCGGGCTTTAAGATACTCGATTTCTGTTCATAAGCCAAACAATATTGTTTCAGCACTTGAGGAAAGCGTCTCAAGTTAATGTAGGTTAATAAAATGAAAATAGATGATTATGGATAAAGAGTACGCATTTGTTCACTCTTGCTAACCGCATAAATATATTACAAGTACTTAATCACATAACAATTCATTTAACGTCTCTTTATCTTTTTATATCTCTTTACTTTAATTGGGTTTAGCCTTATTTTCCGACCCACAAAGTGGTGGGAATATAGTCCTATATATCTGAACCAGCCTTTCAAACTGCCCTTTCCAACGTTCAGTGAACAAATAGGGTTGGCTGTCTTTAGAAAATCTGAATATCAATGTCTGGAACTCATCTTAAAGACTGGTGAAGCGCTACAAGTTAATTCTTCATCCGTCGCTTCAGAGAAGTCATTTCACGTAGGCTTATCCGGGGATATTGTGGTATCTCTGTTTGGTTTTGTTTGCGTTAATGTCGCATTAAGCGCTAGAGCTGGGGTACCGCTTACCGATCTGTAAACACTTCGGTCAGTCAGTCAGTTACAACGTAGAACTTCGTATGTACTTAAATCTGTTCAAGTTGCCATACCACATTAGCACAGAGATGCAATTGTCACTTCAACAAATCCCATAGTAGTAGAGGTAGTAGAAGTGTTAGCAGTAATCGGAAATTTCAGGGTTCGACGATATTATTCAAGAAGTAGAATCTAGTGAAATAAACTCAAAAATAAAAAGATAAAGGTGATGAGGAATTCAGAAGGTTAGGATTTGAGCGAACACAGAGGGTGGATGCAACTGCGCCATTGCAAACGATTTTGAGCCATGTCATTCAGAGTCCCTAACCATCGGTGATTTTCGTCTCGCCCACCCGAACCAGGTAGCCTATATTTACCAACATGACTCAGTCCACTTGTCAGTGACTTCATGGATTTCTGTTATGTTTTGGTCTGGCCGCCCCTAGCTTTCTTCCAACCTACTCCTACATCGCAAAACATAGTTCGACGAGGCAGTCAGCGGTTTGGCATTTATAACACATGTCACAAACACCTCAACTGATGGAGTTTCAATATTCCATCTACTGACCTGCCATCCTTACCAAGGACCCGTTTCCTGACAACAGCATTGCTTACTCGGTTGTCCCATGATACACGAGCAATGCTTCGGAGATACCTATGATCGAAAACCAGCAACCCACGAATATCTACTCTCACTGGCCATGTTTTACAGCGATAAAGTGGGACGGGGCGTACTACTGCGCATTACACTCGTCCTTTAGTCAGCAAACGGATATCTTGTCTACGCCATGTGTCACCACATTCCAATCGACCTGGCTGGCATGGTATATTGCCACGCAAATATACCCCAAATATATAAGGGTGAACCATTCTAACTATTTATGTACTTCAATACTTATAAAAATTATTTCCGAACCATGTATGCGTCACTCAAAATGCACAGAACAACAGGCCAATTCCTATCCAACCGAAGTCTGATTGAGGTACATAGATTACACGTGTGTAATGGTACGCTAATTCTTTAACCTAAACCTTAAGTTTATTACTTGCATTTATCCATCTACGCAATTTTTACCATTCATAGAACACTGACTTGAAGACTTAAAAATGGGAATTAGTTATCGAGTCTAATTTCACACAAGCTTTGAACCGCGTGTCTTGTGTAACTGATGGTTAGAGACTTTGAAAGACAGGGCTCCAAATCGCTTGCAATCGCGCAGGTGAATTCATTCCTTATGTTTTCTTGAATTTTATTCTTCAGAATCTCTCATGACTGTTTTTTCCCTTCATGCATCCAATCGTCGATCCCTAATATTTTCGACTACCTCTAATGTTGCAGCTACCTTCATCACTAAGAGATTTTAATTGAAAATTCCATCTCTCTGTGTTAGTGTGGTATGGCAACTTGAACTGATGTACGTACGTGCGAAACTCTACGTTGCAGTTGACTGACTCACGTGTCTTGAGTAAACAGTCTTGCCAGTCTGTGTATACAAAGTGGCGACCTAACTTTTTCCTATATTATACGAATAATCAAGTTTATGTTTAGGTTAACGTAGAACGATAAACGCCTATGAAATATTTTTATTCCACTTACTTAGAAACTGAGCTAATTAAACAATGACGGGGTGTGACAACAGCAATGTGTTACTTTTAGCGCGTAAGTTCGAGCACTCATCAATCAATAAACAGCAACGTAGAACTTCGTACGTACGTAAATCTGTTCAAGTTGCCATACCACATTAGCACAGAGACGCGGTTGTCAATTCAGACCCCATAGTGGATGAGATTGTAGTAGAATTACTGGTGATAGGGGTTAGGATTTGAGCGAACACAAAGCTTAATGTACCTCTTTGGTACACGTTTTAATGACAGACACTGTCATAGAATCTCACGACCCACAGAAATACTCTTATTGTGGGGCATCTGAATGTGTGTCTATGTTCTAGGACCTGTCGTAGTGTGAACATTTGTTCTATACATCCGCGTCTAGGTTGAAGACCAGCCTGGTTTTCTCTAGTCTGTTCTTCACGAGCTATAGTTAGGCGTCCAAGTATAATGAAGGCTAACAATTTAGAAACTATGTTAGTTAGACTGACTCTCATGTGATTGTCACAAGAGGACTTTTGTCCTTTTTTTATAGACTACGATAATCAGTGATTGAGACCAGCCGGATAGGATTACGTTCAGTTCCTAAATTTTACCTAAGATCTCAGTCAATCTAACTGCTAAAACGGGACTACCATCCTTAAAAATCTCAGGGGTCAATCTATCAGGACCCACTGCTCTCCCACGCTTCAGATTTCCTATCACTTTTTCAACTTCGTAAAGATTCGGGGGACTTATGTCGGTTTTTCCATTCAGGATGACTGGAGATGGTGGGCAGCCGGAGTGTGGCTGAAGGCCAGTTGAACTGATCCCTGAAATGTTCTGCCCATCGATTCAATCTCCTGGATTGAGCATGAATAATAAGAACATTCTTTTCCGAGAAAGTCTCACTTATAGTCGGATTCCGGATACCGGTTTCCTTGATAAGTCTGAACAACTGTCTGCTGTTGCTTATCGCCGTTCCCTATTCCATCGCTCTGGATTTCGCCACCCACCACTGTTCACGATCATTGCGAAGGCTTTTTATCAGCCTGCGCCTGAACTGACTCCGCTCCTCATCGTACTCAGAGCCAGGCGGGATGAGCTTTCCAGGATCCATCAGTTCGGTAGATACTACAGAAATCCACGGCTTCTCCCTGACCTTATGGTTTACCTTACTAGCAGATATCACTGCTGTTTCTTCAGCCTTTATGATATCATTCCAAGCTACCTCCGGATGATAATCGCTTACATGGTTGCCTAACTGTTTTTGTAGTTGTTCCTGAAATATATTCTCAGCTTTATAATCATTAGGCAGAGTCTTAAGAGGTTTCCTCGCGATGTCTTTCCTACGTCCAGTAAGTCTAGCAAATACGCGCCCACACCAGGGCATGATCTGAATCTAAACAAGTGATCCAGAACAAGCGAAAGCCCTCTATCGAAACTCTCCATCGGTGACTGATCTATTTGGGCCGAACGTTCAGACGACTTTGGGTGGTCGCCAGGCTTAGTGTTATCTGAGTGGTTATCTTAGCTTATCTGCAGCAGACAGTAGCCATTGTCTTTTCTCTGAGCCGCGAAACCATAAGATCCACCCAGGTGTCTTTACTTTTCGCTGAGTTTATCAAATTCGCAGACTTGGATATGTCCTGAAATAATTTTTTGGTTTTAATTTCCGTTACCGGATTTTTCTTCCCACTACTTATTATTATTTTTATTATTAATATTGGTTATTTTTCTCATGCACTGATTTCCTCCCATTTTTCCTCCACTATACTCACCTTTTTTTCTGTATCTCTTCACAATCTAATTTTCTTATGTGGTGCATGCAAATTTTAGCTCCCCTTTTTATCAACATTTGTTTACGATAATAAGTGAAAAACCTCTATGTAGTTAGATTTTCAGTTGCCAACTATCTGTACTTCAAGCTTTGGTATAATCAGTAGTCTACATTGTATCCAAATAAAGGCATTTTTCATAATTAAGCAAACATAATTTGCCTTTAGGGAAGAACTAAGGTGCTGAAGATTATCTGTTTATTTGCGTCGATTATTGCTCACCTAACCAGTAAGTAATTTATGTTGTCAGATTTTCCATGAATATGCTATTGAGAGTCCATAAGTGAATCCTATAAATGATCTTGCTTTCATTTTGTCACAAAATACTGGAATTAAGGTTAATTTTGGTCGAGTACTAGTCATAAATCCGCCATATATATGCTTTTCGCTATTGTCTTAATGTTTGAAATTTTCGTACATTTATTTTTGCTTTATAGGGACTATGTTAACTAACGAAGAAAATACTTTATTAGAAGACCAACCAATTCAGTCGTCAATCAAACGGGTATCTAAAGCTCGTAAATCTTGTTCCGGTGATCATCAAAATTGCAGTCCGATTGGAAAAAATAGCACTAACGATTTGAATGGTAATATCGTCACTCCTACCCTGGATAATCGAGAAGTTGATCGACTTAAATTCACTAACCCAGGTAGACAAATGGAAGAACTAGAAGTTGGTTGGTCTGAAGCAAATATGACACGAAGTGTTCGCAGACAAATGACCGTTAAATCTAGTTACAAGTCATCAGAGTAAATTAATATTGTATGATAGAGTTAATTTTATTTATGATTCTGAGCTACTATCAACTGTAGTTTGTTAGCTTTAATATGTGCCACTATAAACATTTGGCTCGTCAAAGCATTTCAATAAGCTTTGTAAATTTATATATTTATGTTTTAATAAGTATTCCATAACAAGAGTAGACAAAATCGTACTGTTCATTTGGTGGTCATTTCAGTAATTCAGCATCCTTTAATATTTGGATACTTGGTTACTGGAAAATCGTCTTGTAGTCAACAAAAACTTATCCCGACGGTAGCTGCTACCTTGACGTGGTGGTCAGGCTTGCTTATCGTGATGACCCAACCGAGCTATATTGGACGGAACACATATTCCTGTAGGTTCTATCATGCTGGGCAGGTCGATTGGAGAACGGTGAAACTGAAAGCTGCAATTTAAGGTCCGGGGGCGAAGTCGTACTGCTGACTGTAGGACACTGTAACGGCGGTAAGGCAGTTCCCTCAGACAAGCAGCATCTACAGCAATTCTGTGTTTTCATAACGGAAGGGGTGCATTGGAAAAGGTCGGCCCTAATTCTGTCACACCCCACGGATTTCTGTCTCAAGTGGCAAGGCCTTTTAAAGTGTGGATCCAACACGTTAGAAACTTCACATAAAAAGACCGTCCGCGGAGGACTTAAATTAACTTGCCATTCAGGTTGACTGGAGATGGTGGGCAACCAAAGTTTGACTGAAGGCCTGTTTATCTCACTGGGATATACACCTTGAATCATATGGTCGATCCCTAATCTTATCGATAACCACTAAGTTCGCTGCTGCCTTTAACACTAAGGGATTTAAATTGACGATCCTATCTCTCTGTGCTAATATGATATGGCAACTTGAACTGACGCGCGTAAGAAATCCTCCGTTGTGACTGATTGACTGTCTTGGTTACCAGACTAATGTTTCCTTACATTACCCGAGTCAAAAAACCCTATACAACTATTGGCTTTCTGATTTCAAAGAAGTAACACACCAACTTCACTTCTCACCCTTTTTACAGCGGTTTTGCTGTCTCCAAGTGTTCTCAATCTGTTCAAGCTAATCAGACTCAAACTCCTGTAAGGTCAGTAACAGTTCATGTCCATCTCTAGCGATACTTGCTTGCTGTGAGTTTTACGACTGACCTATCTGACCAACCTTCAGATACACCATTCATCCACTTGGCCTACTCTGTTGACCAGTAAACATTGATGGTAAGGGTGTGATGACTTGAATCTACCTACCTTTTGGGGCAGAACATTTTGCTTTTTTCGGGCTCTTTTTGGTTGAGGATGAAGCGACTAATCAGTGATACTGAGGTTGTTCTCGTACGCTTGTTTCATAATCACGTTTCAAATTTTATTCTGGGATCGCTATTCCTCTAAGACCGCCTGCAAAATGCTTTCTGACTGCTGTTCACTTATTAGAGTGATGATCACACCACGTCCTAATTTGCTAGAGGCAGTTTGTTGATGAAGATTTCAAATTTAATTCTTTAGTAATGATTATCTCTATATCTAGGAAACGCATAAAACTGATTTGTTTACGATGCGTCACTATATTAATAAATTCTTTCATGAAATTTACAGGGATTTAGTAAACGGATTTTGTTGTACATAATTTTAGTGTTCTTGACCGTAGCGATGACTTTTTAACGCCATATCAACATAGTATTTATCAGATATTTGCATATTAAGAGGTTTACTATGGTTGAACATCTCATCTACAGATGAGATAGCATTGACAAGTGTACTATCAGCAAGTACAACAAAATGCTTCTGTGACGGATAAAGGTTCTTCCAAATATGTCTGGGTATTGGGTATACAGAAGCATGAACACAAACGTGGCTCCAATAGTACCCACTACTCAGTCGTTGAGCGTTCGAGATATAACGGACTGACTGTTGGTCTTATAGAAACCTTTAGATACAGGTAAGATGAGAATGATCATTCAGATTGTTTGGAAGAAAATCCATAGATCTTCCATATATATATATATATATATATATATATATATATATATATAATTAAGAGGCCAAGACGATCCTGGCTACGTTGTTCTAGTAAAGCTATCAATGCATTTTATCATTGGTAAAAAGTGCTTTTCTTGATATCTTTGTTATCATTCCCTTTTCCTCTACTCTTAATAGTCGATTGCATCCATTATATGATTCTCGTGGACGCCTATTAGGAACTTTGGACTATAGTTGTGATTGTCTTAAACCTGAGTGTCCTGGGTGCCATCTACCTTGTCGTCGGTGTCATTCTACATTTTGTGGGGCATCATGTCGAATTTATCGAACTTATCGTGTTAGTGGAGTAAGTTCCTGATTGTTTCATATAAACGTTTCACTCATCCATAGAGAGGTTTTTATGCTTAAATTATTACAACTTTTAATACCCGTTTATTTTAAATTGTGTGCACGATAAGTATGATGTTCATCATTTCATATTAGTGCACTGTTAGTTAGCTATCGGCAGTTTTTTGGTTGAATATTCAAAACCTACTTCATTATGACTATCAAATAGTATCTACAGACCACGTAGACTCCGCCTGTAGACCCTCCGAGGCTACTGCCGGTCCCAAACCCAGATAAAGAAACAGGGTTGGGCTTGAGGTTGGCGACCCCATCCCACAAAAAAGCGCTAACAAGAAAAAATAATTCAAACCGTGTAAACTCTGTCGATGCCCCTTCTGACAACTAGAACCCTCCCACGGTGTGGGCAGCCTAGAAGTAACATCCGCCCTCATACCCGTAAAAAGCATACAAGACAAAATCGGTCACAATAAAATTCTTTCTACACATCCCAATAAATCTCTTATCCCCACGACCAACCGCTGACGCAAACGGTTTGAGCTCACGAAACGCTATTACTGGTCTTCTGAAACCCTGTACTAAATTACATATTGGAGCTTTTAATGTTCGGACCCTATGCCAAATAGGGCAACAGCCTTCATTAGCTAGAACTCTGGAGTCCCGGGCGATCGATTTATGCTGCGACTCCGAAACGCGCATACAAGACCCGAGTAAAATCATCAATTTGATTTCACCTTGTGCAAATAGAGACACAACAAGGTTTACGCTTCGTCTTTCTCGATATCCTGATGGTGCTTACCGTAGCCTCGCTGGCGTAGGCAGGAATAGCTCTCTTAGACTGGATCCCGGTAAACAGTCGCTTATGTGCTGTCCGACTAAAAGGGACGGTACGGACTCGTAAGGATAGGGACACTCGCCGTTGCCTGTTCGTCGTATCTGCCTACGCTCCCACTGACTACAGTTCAGACGAGGTGAAAGATGAGTTTCACCTCTCTAAACTTCTTCAAATAGTTAAGCGCTGTGATATAGTAATAATGGCGGGCGACTTCAACGCTCAAGTAGGTGGACTAAGTGATAAGGAAAGACACCTGTGTGGATCTTATAGTGTCGCGGCTAATCGAACAGATAATTGCGACCGTCAACTGCAGCTATGCTCAGATGACCGCATATTGCTAGCAAACACTAACTTAAAGCATAAAGAAAAACATCTTTTGACCTTAAGACCCCCAAAGCCGACCCAACTAGATCACATCGCTATGGGCCATCGGTGAAGAGGCTCTGTGGAAGACTGCCGCTCATTCTGGATCACTTGTTTAGATTCAGATCATGCCCTGGTGTGGGCGCGTATTTGCTAGACTTACTGGACGTAGGAAAGACATCGCGAGGAAACCTCTTAAGACTCTGCCTAATGATTATAAAGCTGAGAATATATTTCAGGAACAACTACAAAAACAGTTAGGCAACCATGTAAGCGATTATCATCCGGAGGTAGCTTGGAATGATATCATAAAGGCTGAAGAAACAGCAGTGATATCTGCTAGTAAGGTAAACCATAAGGTCAGGGAGAAGCCGTGGATTTCTGTAGTATCTACCGAACTGATGGATCCTGGAAAGCTCATCCCGCCTGGCTCTGAGTACGATGAGGAGCGGAGTCAGTTCAGGCGCAGGCTGATAAAAAGCCTTCGCAATGATCGTGAACAGTGGTGGGTGGCGAAATCCAGAGCGATGGAATAGGGAACGGCGATAAGCAACAGCAGACAGTTGTTCAGACTTATCAAGGAAACCGGTATCCGGAATCCGACTATAAGTGAGACTTTCTCGGAAAAGAATGTTCTTATTATTCATGCTCAATCCAGGAGATTGAATCGATGGGCAGAACATTTCAGGGATCAGTTCAACTGGCCTTCAGCCACACTCCGGCTGCCCACCATCTCCAGTCATCCTGAATGGAAAAACCGACATAAGTCCCCCGAATCTTTACGAAGTTGAAAAAGTGATAGGAAATCTGAAGCGTGGGAGAGCAGTGGGTCCTGATAGATTGACCCCTGAGATTTTTAAGGATGGTAGTCCCGTTTTAGCAGTTAGATTGACTGAGATCTTAGGTAAAATTTAGGAACTGAACGTAATCCTATCCGGCTGGTCTCAATCACTGATTATCGTAGTCTATAAAAAAGGACAAAAGTCCTCTTGTGACAATCACATGAGAGTCAGTCTAACTAACATAGTTTCTAAATTGTTAGCCTTCATTATACTTGGACGCCTAACTATAGCTCGTGAAGAACAGACTAGAGAAAACCAGGCTGGTCTTCAACCTAGACGCGGATGTATAGAACAAATGTTCACACTACGACAGGTCCTAGAACATAGACACACATTCAGATGCCCCACAATAAGAGTATTTCTGTGGGTCGTGAGATTCTATGACAGTGTCTGTCATTAAAACGTGTACCAAAGAGGTACATTAAGCTTTGTGTTCGCTCAAATCCTAACCCCTATCACCAGTAATTCTACTACAATCTCATCCACTATGGGGTCTGAATTGACAACCGCGTCTCTGTGCTAATGTGGTATGGCAACTTGAACAGATTTACGTACGTACGAAGTTCTACGTTGCTGTTTATTGATTGATGAGTGCTCGAACTTACGCGCTAAAAGTAACACATTGCTGTTGTCACACCCCGTCATTGTTTAATTAGCTCAGTTTCTAAGTAAGTGGAATAAAAATATTTCATAGGCGTTTATCGTTCTACGTTAACCTAAACATAAACTTGATTATTCGTATAATATAGGAAAAAGTTAGGTCGCCACTTTGTATACACAGACTGGCAAGACTGTTTACTCAAGACACGTGAGTCAGTCAACTGCAACGTAGAGTTTCGCACGTACGTACATCAGTTCAAGTTGCCATACCACACTAACACAGAGAGATGGAATTTTCAATTAAAATCTCTTAGTGATGAAGGTAGCTGCAACATTAGAGGTAGTCGAAAATATTAGGGATCGACGATTGGATGCATGAAGGGAAAAAACAGTCATGAGAGATTCTGAAGAATAAAATTCAAGAAAACATAAGGAATGAATTCACCTGCGCGATTGCAAGCGATTTGGAGCCCTGTCTTTCAAAGTCTCTAACCATCAGTTACACAAGACACGCGGTTCAAAGCTTGTGTGAAATTAGACTCGATAACTAATTCCCATTTTTAAGTCTTCAAGTCAGTGTTCTATGAATGGTAAAGTTTGTGTAGATAGATAAATGCTTTTTATTTTCGTGAGACTATATTTAAAGGTCGTGAAATCAGTAATAGTGAGAATTAAATGTACAAAATATAGTTCAAAGTATTGGATGCACTCTCGAAATAAAAGGTATACAGAAGTAATAAACTTAAGGTTTAGGTTAAAGAATAGGCTTACCACTACACACGTGTAATTGATGTACCTCAGTGAGACTTCGGTTGGATAGGAACTCGTTTAATTCAACAGCAGTATTTCGTTTCTGGAATTTAGCTAATCATTATTACTCTTTTTCTTTATTTCAGGTTAAGCTGTTTATTTGATATGATCAGTTCAATAGTTTTCGTTAACTCACTGCCCCAATAACTTATCAATTTTTTTTCGAATAAATTTATACATGCCTGTGAATTGTTACCGAGATTTAATTCGAAGTTTGGTTTGGTGTTTTCTGTATATGCAACCGAAATTATCTGTCAGATAAAAGACGTATAACTCTTGATCGACTACTGGAGTATATTTTGGACAGCTCCTTCTACTTTAAGAAAATCTGTATCGAAAATACTAGATGGTGTTCCGAATATTGTGTGAATCCCGATTCGAATTCAAAAAAGTGGTGAAGATACGTTTAGTTTGCTTTCTTCTAAATATTGGATAATCTGCTATTCTGTGCTTATTTTTTGTTCCCATTTTAAAATCTTGGTTTTGAGTGTCGAATCTTACATCCAACCGCTGTATAAAAACTTACGAAATATTCGAGATTGTAAGACCTGATACACTAAGCAAAAATAACATTAATTATTTCATAACCTGACGAGTGAATTCTATTTATATAAGCAAATGCGGAAATCTTCAATTTTCAATGAGGTTTGTTCTCTATTTACTCCACTTCACAGCATACAAAATACCTGATGTTCCATTGATTGCACTGGTTATGAAAGAAGGGTTTATGGACTAGCACTTCAATAATTTATTGATTTTACATGAACATACTCGATTTCTGTTCATAAGCCAAACAATATTGTTTCAGCACTTGAGGAAAGCGTCTCAAGTTAATGTAGGTTAATAAAATGAAAATAGATGATTATGGATAAAGAGTACGCATTTGTTCACTCTTGCTAACCGCATAAATATATTACAAGTACTTAATCACATAACAATTCATTTAACGTCTCTTTATCTTTTTATATCTCTTTACTTTAATTGGGTTTAGCCTTATTTTCCGACCCACAAAGTGGTGGGAATATAGTCCTATATATCTGAACCAGCCTTTCAAACTGCCCTTTCCAACGTTCAGTGAACAAATAGGGTTGGCTGTCTTTAGAAAATCTGAATATCAATGTCTGGAACTCATCTTAAAGACTGGTGAAGCGCTACAAGTTAATTCTTCATCCGTCGCTTCAGAGAAGTCATTTCACGTAGGCTTATCCGGGGATATTGTGGTATCTCTGTTTGGTTTTGTTTGCGTTAATGTCGCATTAAGCGCTAGAGCTGGGGTACCGCTTACCGATCTGTAAACACTTCGGTCAGTCAGTCAGTTACAACGTAGAACTTCGTATGTACTTAAATCTGTTCAAGTTGCCATACCACATTAGCACAGAGATGCAATTGTCACTTCAACAAATCCCATAGTAGTAGAGGTAGTAGAAGTGTTAGCAGTAATCGGAAATTTCAGGGTTCGACGATATTATTCAAGAAGTAGAATCTAGTGAAATAAACTCAAAAATAAAAAGATAAAGGTGATGAGGAATTCAGAAGGTTAGGATTTGAGCGAACACAGAGGGTGGATGCAACTGCGCCATTGCAAACGATTTTGAGCCATGTCATTCAGAGTCCCTAACCATCGGTGATTTTCGTCTCGCCCACCCGAACCAGGTAGCCTATATTTACCAACATGACTCAGTCCACTTGTCAGTGACTTCGTCAGTCAGTCAGCTGCAACGTAGAACTTCGTACGTGTGTACATAAGTTCATGTTGCCATACCACATTATTAGCACAGAGACGCAAATGTCAAATCAAATCCCATAGTGATAAAGATGGTAGAAGTATTAATGTTATAATAAAGAAGACTAGGGTTTAAGATATTATTCAAAAAATATAATTCAGTGAGATAAGGTTAGAAAGACAAACGTAGAGGTGCTGGCTAATCCAGAAGATTAGGATTTGAGAGAGCTCAAAGAGTGGATGCACCTGCGCCATTGCAAACGATTTTGAGCCATGTCGTTCAAGGTCTCTCACCACTGGTGACTATCGTCTCGCGGACCGCAACCACGTAGCCTACATCTACCAACATGACTCAGTCCACTTGTCAGTGACTTCATGGATTTCTGTTATGTTTTGGTCTGGCCGCCTCTAGCTTTCTTCCAACCTACTCCTACACCACAAAACATAGCTCGTCGAGGCAGTCGGTGGTTAGCCATACGTAACACATGTCCCAACCACCTCAACTGATGAAGTTTCACCACTTCATCGATTGATCTGCCATCCTTACCTAGTACTCGTTTCCTAACGACAATATTGCTTACTCGGCTGTCCGACGATATACGAGCAATGCTTCTTAAACATCTATGATCGAATACTAGTAACCTACGAACATCTTCTACTCTTAACGACCATGTTTCACAGCCATATAAGAGAACGGAACGAACTGATGCGCAGTACACCCGCCCTTTGGTTAGCGAACGGATATCACGCCTACGCCATAAGTGACGCAGGTTGGCAAAAGCCAATCGAGCTTTCTGTATCCGAGCTGAGATTTCGTCAGTCACCAGACCGTCAGCACTGATGAGACTCCCCAGATAAGTGAAGTGATCAACACGCTCGACTACTTCACTCCCTATCACTAGTTCAGGTGCCGATGAAACCCAGTCTTGAAGCAACATTTTGCATTTCGAGGGGGAAAACCGCATCCCGAACATGCTCGCATTGTTGCTTATGGTAGTCAGAAGACTCTGCATTTTGTCAGCGTCTTCACCGAATAGAACTATGTCATCGGCATATTCTAGATCAGTAAGCGACTTTCCTGGTAGAAGGTCAACCCCTGAAAAATCTGACGAGCTTAATGTTAACTCTAAGAGGATGTCTACGACAAAGTTGAACAAGAATGGAGAGAGTGGACATCCCTGACGGACACCACTTGATGTAGAGAATTCAGATGACAGTTCGCCATATGCTCTCACCCGACCAGTGGTGTTCGAGTAGAGTGCTTGTATAAGGTTAATGTACTTCTTTGGTACACCTTTCAATGACAGACACTGCCACAGAACCTCACGATCCACTGAGTCGAATGCCGCCTTAAGGTCTAGGAACACGACTATTGTCGGACGCCTAAATGTGTGTCTGTGTTCCAGGACCTGTCGTAGTGTGAAGATGTGGTCTATACAACCACGTCCAGGTCGAAAACCAGACTGGTTTTCTCGAGTCTGCTCTTCACGAGCTCTAGTTAGACGTCTAAGTATAATCGAGGCTAACAATTTAGAAACTATATTAGTTAAACTTATTCCCCTGTGATTGTCACAAGAGGACTTCTGTCCTTTCTTGTAGATTGGGACAATTAGCGACTGGGACCAGTCAGATGGGATTACGTCCATTTCCCAGATTCTACCTAGGATCTCGGTCAGTTTAACCGCTAAAACTGGACCACCATCCTTAAACATCTCAGGGGTGAGCCTATCGGGGCCTGCCGCTCTACCTCTCCTTAGATTTCCTATAGCTTTCTCAACTTCATTTAAACTGGGGGGACTTAAATCGATTTGCCATTCAGGATAACTGGAGA